CTGGATGTCATTTATTTCTGCTCTAATCTTTATATCCCCTCCCTCCGCAAAACTCCTGGCTTTTCTTGTTGCTCTCTTTCTAATTCTTTGAGATGTAGAGTTAGATGATTTACTACCATTTTTTCTTGTTTTTTGAGATAGGCCTGTAGAGCTATAAACTTCCCTCTCAGGACTGCTTCCATTGTGTCCCATAGGTTTTGGATTGTTGTGTTTTCATTGTCATTAGTTTCCAGGATGTTTTTAATTTCTTCTTTGATCTCATTGGTAACCCAATCAATATTTAATAACATGCTATTCCAGCTTCCAAGTGTTTGAGTATTTTGGATTGTTTTTATTGTAGTTTATTTCTAATATTATGCCATCATGGTCTGAGAAGATGCTTGGTATGATTTCAATCTTCTTGAATTTGGGGAGACTTTGTTTGTGACCCCAATATGTGGTCTATTTTTGAATATGTCCTATGAGCACTTGAGTAGAATGTATATTCCGTGGCTTTGGGGTGAAGTGTTCTGAAGATGTCAATTAAGTCCATCTGATCTAGTGAGTCATTTAGGATTGCTGTTTCTTTGCTGATTGTTTGTCTAGAGGAATGCTGTATATTTTTAAAGGAGCCCCCAACAACTTAGGAAATGGCTGCTTTGGACAATGCCTCCAAAGCCACAGATAACACTGTGGACAATGTAAACTAAGACTTGTCCATCCCACTCCTTCCTGCCATGTCAGATCACTGTTGGCATCTAGATGAGGGACCAGCAAACTTCTGTAAGGGTCCACATAGTAAATATTTCAGGCTTTTTTGGCCATATGGCCTTTGTCATGATTATTTAGCTCTGCTGCTATAGTGTGAAAGTAGAGACAATATATAAATGAATGAATGTGGTGGCTATGTTTTCATAAAAACTTTATGGACACAAATTAAAATTTCCTATCATTTTCAAGTGTCATAAAATATTATTCATCTCATTTTTATCAGTTATTTAAAAAGGTAAAAATCATCTTAGCTCATAGGCCATACATAAACAGATGGTAGTCTAGATTTGGCCCACAAACATAGTTTGCTGACCTGTCAATTTTAGACAAGCAGTAACTTTTGTGATGAATGCAGCATGTTTGTTTTGGAGTCTGAGAAAATGTGCCACAGATATTGAGCAAGACAGACAAAAAGGCAGAAGAGACAGGCACAGAGTTAAACAAAGCCTACTTTTCATCTCTTTGGCTTTAGAGTTCAGATGTACTTGGGTTGGTTTAAATCCATCATTATCTTCAAAGGTGACAGATTCTGAGGAAGCAAATCCCTTAAAAGAAAACAAGGAAGATGTTACCTCCTAGGTCAGGAAAAGGAATTTAATTTAGCGCTTAGACCTCTTTTATCAAGTGTCAATCTTCATAGGCTGTAGCTACTACATTGGTTTTGAAAGCCACACACCTGATATCATAAGGAAACTTAGGAGTGATGGAGCCCTTTTGGCTGTTCTACTTGTAGGCATGTCAGTTAGGCTACAGCTATGAAGACCAGAAAAACAGTCAAAGCATTAAAACACAAAATAAAATTAAAACATATCTGTTGTATCCCTTAATTCTGATACCAGACTATGAATTTGGATAAAAACACTCTGGCTAGTTTCTACTTCCAAAAAAATGGTTAAATAAGTTGCCTAGACACTGCAGTGACTTAAAATGGTGATAACTTTTAAAAAGTGTTATCTGCTTAGCACAACACATGACACAACTAACTGCTCAGTAAAAATTGACCATTAATGTTATTCAAATACTTAAATGGTCAACATTTATTGAGTGTCAAACATGTTTCTGATGTTTATCTCACTTAATCCTCCTGACTTTAGATACTATTATCCTCACCTAACAGATAAAGAAATGTAGAAAAGGAGATGTCGCCCAGCTAGAAAGCAGCAGAACTGGAGTTCAAGCCCAGCTCAGAGTGATCCCCTGGCTCAACTTTTTCATAATTATGTATGTGATACTGAGGATATTCCTACTGTAGGTTAGTAGGCAGAGGGCAAAATTTGCAAACTACCCCAAGCAGAGTTATTATCTTCATCAAGGCCCTATGTGAACTACCATTATGTCTGCCTCTCTTCTTTTTCCTGCATCTTTCTCTGTTCCTAAGTTACAGTCTGACTAGTTATTCTAGATTGAAAACTACCTTCAGTGGCTATCATGTAAAATGTTGCTTTCTGGATGACCTTTCATTAGGTTGCAACTCTTTTTTTTCATGCATTTCACAACCTTATCTCCTTAACCTAAATTACTCCATCCTTTTTCTTTAAAAAAAAAAAAGATTTTATTGATTTTTTTTTACAGAGAAGAAGGGAGAGGGATAGAGAGTTAGAAACATTGATGAGAGAGAAACATCGATCAGTTGCCTCCTGCACACCCCCTACTGGGGATGTGCCCGCAACCAAGGTACATGCCCTTGACCGGAATCGAACCTGGGACTTTTCAGTCCGCAGGCTGACACTCTATCCACTGAGCCAAACCGGTTAGGGCCTCAATCCTTTTTCTTAATATTTTTCTTATTATTATTATCAACTCAAACACTTTAGCTTCTATAAATTCACAGAACAGGATGTCCCTCAGTCTCAGTGGAACACACTAACCATTATGGAGGATTCTAAGTAAATAAAATGTGATTAGTAACACTTCAACAGTATACCCATTTCAAAACAGTAAAATAAATCCTACACATTATTACATAGCACAAACAATTTGAACTAAGTAAAAGATAGAAAGGTGAGATAATAGTTAATATTCTCAGAAGGACCCCATCTACATTTTGCAGTTTTTACCATCTTTTTCCCATCAGGTTCAACAATGGCTATCTTGGCTTCTGGAGTTCTAATGACTGAATGACACTGAATTCTTGAAATATTGTTATATTTCATTTCTCTGAAAAGAAAAGAAAAAGTTATTCTAGATAATATCAATGTTATAGAAATATCCATTAGAAATTAATGTAAGTAATAATATCTATGCCTCACCCTTACCAGAAGAGAATATAATAATACTAGAGGCCTGGTGTGCGGATTCATGCACTGGTGGGGGGCGTGGCCTGCGGGGATCAGCCTGCTGTGGGAGCACTGCTCATCCCAGTCAGCTGAGTGGCTTGGACCCACCCTCTGAGCGGCTGCTCCCAGTGTGGGAGTGCCATTCATCCCAGTCAGCTGAGTGGCTCCCACTGTGGGAGCACAGTGACCACCAGGGGGCAGCTCCTGTGTTGAATGTCTGTCCCCTGGTGGTCAGTGCGTGTTATAGCAACTGGTCACATGGTCGTTCTGGTCATTCCACCATTTGGTTGCTGGGCTTTTATATATATAGACTAGTGGCCCAGTGCACAAAATTTGTGCAGTGGTGGGGGAGATGTCCCTCAGCCCGGCCTGCACCCTCTCCAATCTAAGACCCCTTGGGGGCAGTCAGACGTCCCTCTCGTAATCCAGGACCGCTGGCTCCTAACTGCTCACCTGCCTGATTGCCCCTAACCACTCTGCCTGCCTGTTCAACCCCAACTGACCCTCCCTGCTGGCTTGCTCACCCCTAACTGCCCCCCCTTGCTGGCCTGCTCTCTCCCAACTGCCCTCCTCCCCCGCTGGCCTGCTCGCCCCCTGCTGCCCACCCCTGCCGGCCTGCTCGCCCCCAACTGACCCCCGCCTGCCAGTCTGCTTGCCCGCAACTGCCCCCTGTGTGGCCTGCTCACCCCCAACTGCCCCCCCGCTGGCCTGATCACCCCCAACTGTCCTCCCCTCCTGGCCTGATCGCCCCTAACCACCTCTGCCTCGGCCCCGCCACCACAACTTTGTCCGGAAGGTCTCCCGGTCTAATTAGCATATTACTCTTTTATTAGATAGATTTTAAAGTCATTGACATTTTAAAATATGTCAAAAAAAGAAGAAAATCATGAAAAAGTACTGGAAATAGATGGTGATAGAAAATAAACATAACTGCAAAGCACAACATCCATAAAGAACCTGATTAAAGTCATCAAGTTTTTAAAGGTTAAACTCCAGAAATGCAATACTGAAGAAATAGTGTGTTCACTAGATTTTTAAATCTCAGTGTCCTTGCCGAAACCGGTTTGGCTCAGTGGATAGAGCACTGGCCTGCGGACTGAGGGGTCCCGGGTTCGATTCCGGTCAAGGGCATGTACCTGGGTTGCAGGCACATCCCCAGTAGGGGATGTGCAGGAGGCAGCTGATCGATGTTTCTCTCTCATCGATGTTTCTAACTCTCTGTCTCTCTCCCTTCCTCTCTGTAAAAAATCAATAAAATATATTTAAAAAAAAAAAAAATCTCAGTGTCCTTGATTTCTCAGTGTTAAACTTACAACTGTGAAGCAAGTTTATATACAGGAGGGATATGGGAGTGGGGGGGAAGGAAGGAAGGAAAGAGGAAGGGGGGAGGGAGGAAAGGAGGGTGGGAAGGAAGGACAGCTGAACAACCACTCTTGACCAATAATACAGATCAATTTTTGATTGGGTTCCTAAGATCTTACTTACGTAACAGGCTCTTCTGGATTATTATTGAACTTAGGTAGACATTCTTCACTCTTAGCACTTCTAGGACATGTTTCCAATTTTAAAGGGATAGCTTCAACTTCACAATCTGCAACTTCTATTTTCCTCTTTTTTGAAAACGTATTTTTCATAATATTGTCTTCTTCTCTATTTTCTCCAATAGTATCACGTTTCTCAGTGTTAGATCTACTTAGAAATCTTCCTAGCAGAAAGTAAGGGAGTTTAGCAAGACAAAAGATAATACAGTAATTGCAAGGCAACAAAAGGGCGTCTCTATTATGCTTCATTACTAAAGAACCCTGTGAGGTGTACCTTATTTCTAGAATGAAGATAAACACATTAATATCCTAGAAAACCTCTGCAAGAAATAATAAGAGACCAGTAAGAAATTTTATATCTTCCAGTATATGAAAAAAAACAGTACATTTAAAAAAACAACACTTGTCTGTTTTGGTATAACATGAAAGAAAAGAGGTTCAGCTACAATAATATAAAACAAAAATATAGATCAGAAAGCATTTGACAAAATTAGAGTGGTGAACTCTAGCCTTGATACTACAACTTTGGTGTCTCATTAAAAATGCTTTATCATTTAACATCAATACTCTTTTTATAAAGTTACTTATTTAAATCTGCGGTGATATGTGCCTATTGTTCTCATATTAAGTCCTAGTGTAACATTAAAATCTTAGTCTAAAGTTTATGTTTCTCCCCCTTCCCCACCCCCCAGGGACTCAAAATTACAATTACTAAGTCAAAGTTAGTAGCGGGATCAGAGATTCCTTAGTTGCATTTTCTAACGAAGAAGATAAAGACAGTTCTTCCTGGATACTATTTGGCATTTTATAGACAGCAGACTTCCATCAGAGTTATTTTGAGAAATATGAGAAACAACTGTCTAGATAAGTTGTATGTCTATAGAGTGGTATGTGGCAAGGATCCAGGTGTGACTACTTTGAATTCTGATAATTCCTGCCCTCACTGAAGTGAACCTGGAAATTCAAATGAGAAAGTTTGCTCTGGTCCCTGCTGCCTAGTTGCAAAGACTCAGTCCAGCACATTTCCTTTAGACTGGTTCTAGAGCCAGTTTCCTCCACTCTCCTCATTTCCTGGTAAATACAGAGCGTGAGGATCCTTGCTGACACGCTGGAGTAACTAATCAAGACCACTGGAGACTGACATGGCTGGCCTGGGGGGTTGTGGACCTAAGGAATCAATGACTGCGTAACGGTAACCCCCTGGGTGGGAAGTTTAGTGCAGAATGTGAGAAACTCTAGGGCAAGTGGTTCTCAACGTTGCTGCACATTAGAATCACCTGGGAATCTTTTTAAAATCCTGGTTTCTGGGCCTCATCCTCCAGAAATTCTGTTTCTTTGTTATGGGGTGAGGCCACAACATTAGTAACAAAGAAACAGAATTTCCGGAGAATGAGGCCCAGAAACCAGGATTTTAAAAAGGTTCCCAGGTGGTTCTAATGTGCAGCCAAGGTTGAGAACCACTGCTCTAGGTCTAGGGTCTCTGAAATGGAGTGTGCTGCCTGACATCACTGCCCAACTCACTACACGTAGGTATTTATTACAAAACGACCTTATTAAATTCTAATAGCTCAAAGCACTGAATAAGGCAGTCTCTGATTGATAATTCAGTAATTTAGTTTCCTATTTAAAAAGTTTTCTATCGCCGAAACCGGTTTGGCTCAGTGGATAGAGCGTCGGCCTGCGGACTGAAAGGTCCCGGGTTAGATTCCGGTCAAGGGCATGTACCTGGGTTGCAGGCACATCCCCAGTGGGAGGTGTGCAGGAGGCAGCTGATTGATGTTTCTCTCTCATTGATGTTTCTAGCTCTCTATCTCTCTCTCTTCCTCTCTGTAAAAAATCAATAAAATATATTTTAAAAAAATAAAAATAAAAAAATAAAAAGTTTTCTATCTTTATGACTCCAAAGCATTTGTAGCCATGAAAACAAAATAAAAAAAATAAAAAAATGTGCTTCATACAATAACTCAGATTTTATCTCTGAGCCTTTCTGAAACATCTGGTACCTCCTGAAGCATCTCTTCCCTTTAGAATTCAATTTCCCAGTAACTTTCCTTACTCTGATGCTCCTCCTCTAAATTGTTACTCTTGTCCTTGCTATAAGATTTCAATGGCCCTGTATAGTAAAATGGAGATTCAGAAGAGTAGATCTTACTCTATAGTAATTTGAAAATAAACCCTTGCGTTACCTGAGTAAGTGCAAACAAATGTCCCTCTGTCAATGTCATCTAGGCAGCGTACTCCCCATCCCTTCTTCTCAGTTTTGAACACCTGTAGCCTCACTTGAAGTCCATGCTGAACTACTCGATTTTGACACATTTGTCGATTACACTTGCACAACAGGCTGCATTCATAAATGCTGTCAATAAAATATCCAAGAGAAAATCAATCAGGCATCCTTAATTAAAACAAAAAGCACATTATAGCGCTACCTCACTAATAATCACAGACTAAGAGTGAAGGAAGTTTCCTAGAGCTAGACTGCCTGGGTTCCCATTATAGTTCCAGCATTTACTAGCTGTGTGATCTTGGATGAGTTATTTAGCCTGTCTGTGCTTTAATTTTCCATTTTTAAAATGGGGATTATATGATAGTATATATCATATATATATATATATACCTGAATATATATACGATATATAAAATATCATAGGGTTGTTTCGTGAAGATTACACGAATCAACGTTTATAAGGTGCTTGGGACAATACCTGGCACATAGTAAATATCAGCTCTTTAAAAATGTCTAAGAAGTAAATGTATGGGAAGGCAATGTCTAGGAAGAAAAATGTTTTATTTTTTAATAACAACCTTGAAATGGTGAAAATTCCTAATTCTTAGAAGTGTTTTGCACAGGATATTTCTTAATGAGGAAAAGGCTGCCCCAGGTAGGCTAACTCTAGAGGGATAAGAGCTAGACTCAAAGCAGGGGAGTGTTCTGTTTGGTCTCTGACTTTCATTTCCAAAAACAATATGCAGGTTTTTTATTTTTAATTCCTTAATTTAGATTTTGGGTACAAAAATATTAAGATTTAACATCTATAAGACTATAGACCACAATAGCAAAGTATCCACCTTCAACTATACAAACACCCTGCAACAAATCCTTAAGGTATATTACCCAGTAGGTATATGTCTCTGTAGTCTTTTATATTTATATCCAACGGCTGTTTTATCTCTTGACAAGGAGTAAATCTCAGCATTCCTTGCTGTCATTTGAAGACATGCACATTTTGTTCTAAAAAGGAAGGCAATGAATAAGTCAGAATTTAAAAAGCACCAAGTGAAGTAAAGACTGTCTTGATTAAAGTGTAAAAGTTATAGTAAAGGATGTCATTGTATTTATGACAACTGTTTGCCTCAGGGACAGTTGAACTTCTTCCTTAAATAGAGCTTTTTGAAAGAGAATAGCTACCAAAAGTTTATAAATAATTATAAACTGTCCTATCTGCTCGTGAAATACTTAACTATGTAAGTGTTCTTTAACTTTTCAAAATGAATTCCTTTCATTTTCTGTTCAGCAGAAGCTTGTTTGTGAATATTCTCCCAGGTACACTCTCTTAGAATGGATAAATTTATGTGTGTCAAACCCAAAAGAGTGTACATAGTTTTGCAGATGTCTTAAGTTATCTTCCTTTCCAATGACATGAAAAGAGATTAGGGAAGTTAATACTGGGTATCTGGTTACTACAGTTTGTTCTTTATAATGTTGCTAAACAAGAAAAATACAACCATAAAAGAATTTCCCCTCTATTTAAATGATTATCTAAGAGACTTATAACTTGACAGGGAGTAAGGAACTTGGGTATCTCAGATGTAAACTGAGTATGTGACTACTGTGAGCTGGTTAAACTCTCTGGATCTATCTCTTTTTCCAACAAGTGACTGAGGTCTTTTCCTCAATGATTCTCTTCTGTGTTTTTCTGTATATACATACATGCATAAGAGTGGTGGCTACTGTTTACAACAGAAAAAAAACACAAAAAATTCATTAATTTGCATTCTATTTACAGATGTAGAAATCTAAAGATGCTTTTTTTGATATGATTTTGTTGGCAAAGTTTAAAAGTACAAAAAAATACAAATAGTAATATAATTAACACTCACATTTCTACCCAGAATTAACTGTCATCATTTTGTTTAGTCCTTCTTTTTCCTATGTATATAATTTAAAACATACACACTGTTTATATGATCTTCTTTAAAAAATAAAAAAATTAAACATTACAGATAAACTCTCAAGCAGTTTGGTGTGATATCCTTTATACTTTTAAACATATAGATCTATAGACAATATACTGTATTGTTTTTAAATATTTACTATAGTTATTATCCTTCAACTTGCTTTTTCTTTCAATATTATTTCTTTTTGAGACCCAATCGTGTTTTATGCAAATCTAATTAATTCCTTTAAACTTTTCCATAGCATTTAGATATACAATTATGTTGCTTAATTAAATTGCTTGGTATACAATTAAGTTGCTTAAAGTTTTCAATATAACAGATGCTGCAATGAACATCCTATGCCTATACACATGTGTAAGCATCTCTAGAGTAGTAACTTCCAAATATTTTTTACTATGACCCATGGTAGAAAATACATTTTCTTCATGATCCTATACAATCATACATATTTATATATGTGTACAGGTGTATAAACTGCAACAATGGTGGCATGAAACTTCACCCTTATTGTGTGGGATGCATTTGGGTATTTTTTTGTACTATTTAATTTAAAAAATGCTAGTTACAACCCCTTAAATGATTTTACATGCCACTAACTCTATAGCTTGGAAAACAATGCTCTGGATAAAACAATACTCTGGATATACTTAAAAGTACTATTGCTGGAAAGTATGTATGCACTTCTTCAACTGCTATGTCATGGTTGGAACACCCCACTCTCCCTGAAAAATGACTTGGTATGGAATTCTAGTTTTATATTTATTTTCCTTCAGTAATTTAAGCTAATCTATCTCTTTTTTGGTTCTATTATTTCTGATGAAAAGTGTGCTGTCTGTCTGTCCTTTTTTCTGAGTTTTTTAAACTTACTCTTTACCCAAGATACTTTTTAAGTTGCATCAATATATTTAGATTTATCTTATTTTCGGAGGCTTTTTGACTCCAAGGATTCCTGTCTTTTTTCAATTTGGAAAATTCTCAGCTATTATTTGAGTGTTGTCCTTTTCTTCACTACATATGTATATTGCAGTTTTTCATTTTATCCTCCATATTTTTTAATCTGTAACTTATTTTCCCCATATCTTTATCTCTTTACATTCTGAGAGATCTTAGTTTTTGCCGTGAAATTCACTTATTCTTTCTCCAACTATACCAATGCAAACATTTAGTCCATCTATTTCGTTTTTTATTTCAATGACCATATGTTTTATTTCCCATATTTCCAATGGTTCTTCTTCATATATACCATAAAAAATAAAATCTCCTTTTCTTCTCTCATAGATGCTAATATTTTAGCTTTTTAGACACTTTAAACATAGCTATTGTAAAGTCTTTTTCAATCAAATTCTACATTTATCTCTGATTCTTCAGATGTGAATTTTATCATTAGTTGTGACTCAAACTGTCTTCATGGTCCTAAACGCCTTTGTGTGCTGTGACTGTCTGGATTCGATCCAGCTTAATCCTGTGTGTTCTAAAATTACATATAGTCAAGTTATTCTTTTTTAAAAAGTCCCTTAAACTGACTATAGAGTAAACACTGTCCAACAGCCAGTTTTTTCTCCAGCACTGAAAGAGATTGAGTTTAGCCAGATATAATTGGGTTATACCTAGAGGCAATGTTTAAAACAAACAAACTTATTTTTAAACAGAAGTAAAACTTGGGCCCACCTCAGAACAAAAGATACACTGAGAGTGAAGAAATGGGAAAATATATTCCATGCAAATGGAAAGGAGAGAAAAAAAACAACTGGAGTTGCAATACTCGTATCAAATAAAATAGACTTCAAAACAAAGGCCATAATAAGAGACAAAATAGGCCACTTCATAATACTAAAGGGAATGAATCAACAAGAAAATAGAATCCTTATAAACATACATGCACCCAATATAGGAGCCCAAGTACATTATAAAACTCTTGATGGACTTTAAGGGAGATCAACAAGCAATACAGTCATAGTGGGGGAATTTAACATCCCAATGACATCACTGGATAGATCTTCTAGACAAAAAATTAAAACAAGAAAAAAGAGGCCTTAAATGACACACTAGCCCTACCTGGTTTAGCTCAGTGGATAGAGCATCAGCCTGCGGACTGAAGGGTCCCGGGTTCGACTCCAGTCAAGGGCACATGCTCGGGTTGTGGGCTTGATCCCCAGTCAGGGCACATCCAAGAAGCAACCAATGAATGCATGGACAAGTGGAACAACAAATCAATGCTCTTCTCTCTCTCTCTCTCTCTCTCTCAAATAAATAAATAAATTTTTTAAAAAATGACACACTAGATCAGATGGGTCTAACCGATATTTACAGAACACTTCAACCCAAAGCAACAGAATATACATTCTCAAGTGCACATGGAACATTCTCAAAGATATACCACCTGCTAGGGCACAAAACAAGTCTATACAAATTCAAGAAAATTGATATAATACCAAGCATCTTCTCAGATCACAATGGCGTGAAGTTAGAAATCAACTACAATTAAAAAAACAACAACCTCAAAAACACTCAAATACAGGGAGGCTAAATAACATGTTATTAAACAATGAAATGGGTTACCAATGAGATCAAGCAAGAAATTTAAAACTTCCTGAAAACAAATGAAAATTAACACACCATCCAAAACTTATGCGACATGGCAAAAAATAGTCCTGGAAGGGAAGTTCATAGCATTACAGGCCTACCTCAAGAAACAAGAAAAAGGACTAATAAACTATCTAACACTAAGACTAAATGAATTAGAAAGAGAACAGCAAGGAAAGCCCAGAGGAAGTAGAAGGAAGGAAATAATTAAGATCAGAGGAGAAATAAATGACATAAAGACTAAAAAAAAAAAAAAAAAGTACAAAAGATCAATAAATCCAAGAGCTGGTTCTTTGAAAAGATAAACAAAATTGATGAACTTTTGGCCAGACTCATCAAGAAACAAAGAGAGAGGACCCAAGCAAATAAAATTAGAGATGAAAAGAGGCGATGTAACAACAGACCAAATAAATATAAAAGATTGTAAGCAAATACTATGAACAACTATATGCCAACAAACCCGACAGCCTGGGTGAAATGGACAAATTCCTAGAAAGATACAATCTTCCAAAACTCAATCACAAAGAATCAGAAAACCTGACTAGGTCAATAACAACTGATGAAATTGAAGCAGTAATTACAAAATTTCCAGCAAACAAAAGTCCTGGACTGGATGAATTTACAGGTGAATTTTACCAACCATTCAAAGAAGAACTAACACCTATCCTCCTCAAATTATTCCAAAAAATTCAAGAGGAAGGACCACTTCCAAGCTCTTTGTAAAAAGCCAGCATTATCCTAATTCCAAAATCAGATAAAGACACTACAAAAAAAGAAAATTGCAGTCCAATATCCCTGATGAACACAGATGCTAAAATCCTCAACAAAATATTATCAAATCAGATCCAGCAATACATTAAAAAGATCATACACCATGACCAAGTAGGATTTATTCCAGGGATGCAAGGCTGGTACAATATTCGCAAATCAATAAATGTGATACATCACATAAACAAATTGAAAGATAAAAACCACATGATCATAACAATAGATGCGGAAAAAGCATTCAACAAAATACAGCACCCGTTTTTGATAAAAACTCTCAGTAAAGTGGGAATAGAGGGATCATACCTCAACATAATAAAGGCCATGTACGACAAACCTATAGCCAACATAATACTCAATGGGCAAAAACTAAGAGCTTTTTCCTTAAGAACAGGGACAAGACAAAGATGCCCACTTTCATCACTCTTATTCATAGTACTGGAAGTCCTAGCCACAGCAATCAGACAAGAAGAAGAGATAAAAGGCATCCGAATTGGAAAGGAGGAAGTAAAACTGTCATTATTCACAGATTACATGATATTGTACATAGAAAACCCTAAAGACTCCACCAGGAAACTTCTAGAATTAATAAATGAATTTGGCAAGGTAGCAGGATACAAAATCAACATCCACAAATAGATGGCATTTTTATACACCAATAATGAACTCTCAGAAAAAGAAACTAAAAAGCAATTCCATTTACCATTGTAACAACAACAAAATAAGATACCTAGGTATAAACTTAACGAAGGAGGTAAAAGACCTGTAATTAGAAAACTACAGAACATTGAAAAAAGAAACAGAGGAAGATACAAAGAAATGGAACCATATATCATGTTCATGAATTGGAAGAATTAACATCATTAAAATGTCTATATAACCCAAAGTAATCTACAGATTCAAAGCAATCCCTATTAAAATACCAATGGTATACTTCACAGAATTAGAACAAATACTCAAAAAATGTATATGGAACCATAAAAGACCCTGAATAGCTGCAGCAATCTTGAGAAAGAAGAACGAAGTAGGAGGGATCACAATACTGGATATTAAACTACACTACAAAGCCATTATAACCTGGTACTGGCATAAGAACAGGCATATAGACCAATGGGTCAGAAAAGAGACCCCAGAAATTGATCCACACCATATATGGTCAGTTAATATTTAACAAAAGAGGCAAGAACATACAATGAAGTAAAGACAGTCTCTTCAACAAATGGTGCTGGGAAAACTGGACAGACACATGCAAAAGAAGACCACTAACTTACACCATACACAATAATACACTCAAGGTAGATAAAAGACTTAAATGTAAGGCGTGACACCATAAAAATCTTAGAAGAAAACATAGGCAGCAAAATCTCAAGACATCTCATGTAGCAATATGTTCACGGATACATCTCCTAGGCAGTGGTCGGCAAACTGCGGCTTGGCAAACCACGGCTCACGAGCCACATGCGGGCTCTGTGGCCCCTTGAGTGTGGCTCTTCCACAAAATACCACGTGTGGGCGCGCATGTACAGTGCAACTGAAACTTCGTGGTCCATGCACAGAAGTTGGTATTTTGTGGAAGAGCCACACTCAAAGGGCCAAAGAGGCCGCATGTGGCTTGCGAGCCGAGGTTTGCCGACCACGGTCCTAGGGCAAAGGAAACTAAGGAGAAAATAAACAAATGGGACTACATCAAAATAAAAGGCTTTTGCACAGCAAAAGAAACCGCCACCAAATTGAAAAGGGAACCCACTGAGTGGGAGAACATATTTGGTGATGATATATCTGATAAGGAGTTAATTTCCAAAATATATAAAGTACTCATACAACTCAACAAAAAGAAGACAAACAATCCAATTAAAAAATGGGCAGAAGACCCGAATAGACATTTCTCCAAAGAGGACATACAAATAGCCAAGAGACACATGAAAAAATGCTCAAAGTCACTAATCATCAGAGAAATACAAATTCAAACTACAATGAGATATCACTTCATACCTGTCAGAATGTCTACCATTAAAAAAAAAACCCAACAAACAACAAGTGCTGGTGAGGATGTGGAGAAAAGGGAACTCTAGTACACTGCTGGTGGAACTGCAGATTGGTGCAGCCACTATGGAAAATAGTATGGAGTTTCCTAAAAAAAATTAAAAAATGGAACTTTGTTTTGATCCAATGATTCCACTTCTTGGAATATATCCTAAAACCCCCAAAACATCAATCAGAAATATATGCACCCCTATGTTCATAGCAGCATCATTTACAATAGCTAAGATTTGGAAACAGCCCAAGTGCCCATCAGTAAATAAATGGATAAAAAAGCTATGGGAACTTATGTAATACTTTAAACAATAAAGAATTTTTAAAAAAGCTATGAGACATTTACACTATAGAATACTATGCACCTGTAATACTATGCAGGGATCTCTTACCCTTTGGGACAGCATGGACGGACCTGGAAAATATTATGCTAAGTGAAATAAGCCAAACCGAGAAAGACAAGTATCACATGATCTCACTTATTTGTGGAATCTAATGAACAAAATGAACTGACCAACATAATAAGACCCGAAGCAGGGAGGCATGGAACAGACTGACATACCTCTATGTGGGGTTGGGGGGATGAGGAGAGAGAAACCAAATAACTTATATACTTATACGCATAGCCCATGGACACAGGCAATAGGGTAGTGAAGACCTGGTGGGTGGTGGGGGTTGGGTAGAGGGAGGGAAGGGGAGGAAAATAGGAGATATCTGTAATACTATCAACAATAAAAAATGCATTTAAAAATGAAAATTAAAAAAGCACAATGAGCCCTGACTGGTTTGGCTCAGTGGATAGAGTGTCGGCCTGTGGACGCAAGGGTCCCAGGTTCGATTCCGGTCAAGGGCATGTACCTTGGTTGCGGGCACATCTCCAGTAGGGGGTGTGCAGGAGGCAGCTGATCAATGTTTCTCTCTCATCGATGTTTCTAACTCTCTATCCCTCTCCCTTCCTCTCTGTAAAAAAATAAAAATAAATTAAAAAAAAAAAAAGCACAATGACAGGTTTCCTCTATGACAGGCCTAAAGAAACGGAGTCAAAATCTTACATGACTTTTGTAAGATTTATACATCTCTTCTCACATTCCAACTGACAGGATGGTGAAAACTACTATCCATATTACTTATTTCTTTTTATCTCTCATGTCATTATTTTGCCTAGTACAGGAAGGTATACTTGCATTAAATTAAATGTACATATAATGCATTCCATTTTATATATGCATAACCACAAAATCATGTATATTACACAATTATAAAACAAAATGATTTCAAAGTCCTAAAATATTAGAACATGTTTTCATTTTTTTAATGGAATGTCAATATTATGATCAAGGGAGTACTAATTATAAGCACCATTAGCTTCCTAAAAAATTGCAAGGAAATGGTTTGTAAAAGTAAAACATAACACCCTGACCAGTTTGGCTCAGTGGCTAGAGCGTCGGCCTGTGGACTGAAGAGTCCCAGGTTCGATTCCAGTCATGGGCATGTACCTTGGTTGTGGGCACATCCCCAGTAGGGGGTGTGCAGGAGGCAGCTGATCGATGTTTCTCTCTCATCAATGTTTCTAGCTCTCTATCCCTCTCCCTTCCTCTCTGTAAAAAATCAATAAAATATATTTTTAAAAAAAGTAAAACCTAACATAAAGTGGTTAAAAGCATGGGTTAATATTGTAGCTCTTTAATTTGTTTGCCCTATGATCTTACAATTGGTTTCTCAATTTCCTCATTTGGGACATGAAAATTCTTTTGTGAGAATTAAATAAGAAAATGTATGTAAAACAACTGTCACAGTGTCTGGCACTGTTACATGGCATTAGCTGTAATTATGATTATGATACTAGCTTAAAGAAAATACTCATCCTTGAGAAAATAATTTTTAAACTATTTTAACTGGTAAAGAATTTTCTTTCCCATTGCTAGTGAGACAGTGCATTTTCCCATTTTAGACTCTTGGTCAACAGTTTTAGATAGACAAACTGATACATTGCAGGACTTAATCAGTACCCTTAACATTCAGAAGATTTTTTGAAATGTCAGGTTATTCTACTCACATGTCTATGCAGCCCTCAGAACAGTCACATGAATCAGTAAACATGTTGGAAAAGCTGTTTAGATAATATGCTCGTGGCCACATAGTCTTTCTGTACTTAAAGTGTGGAAGCTTTCTACTGTCAATTTCATTACAGAAAGAAATGGGCACCAATTCCACTCCATTGCTAATATCCAGAACAGAAACAATTTCTTCTTGCTTTGGGTAATTCCGAGTCAACTGAACATAGGTATTAAAAGAAAAGTTATCTGTAAATAAAAAGTTACACTCTGTCTCAAGCAGGTAACGAAAAACTTCCTCCATGTTTCGTAGACTCCTTCCACAAGGGGTTTTATAACTCACGTGGAGCGCTGAAGAATGAGAGTTTGTCTTTGCATGTCGTCTTTGGAAGTGGCACGTAATTGGTAGCTGCAGAGGGTTTTCTCCCTTGAAGGTTGGTAGCATTTTCATCAGACAGGTACCAGAGCAGTCATGACTTTTGTAAGATAAATTCAAAGATGATTCTTTTTCTCTAAAGTCTGCAGCTTTATTTTCCAGAGGGGGAAATTCCTCATTTTTTATAGGTCTGTTTAAAATTAATTACTTATTAGTATCTCAAATTTATAGTACAAATCCCCATTTAAAAAAAATAACACTGCACATTAAGGTGGTTATTAGTTCCTATTATTTTCTTCTTAGATAACACAAAAATAAGCCAGGCTCTGAGTATACTATATTCTGCAGCCATATAAAGATATGCCTCAAAGGTTTTTCTTTGCCCTCCAGACATCAAATATATGGTGTTTTTTTTCTAGCACTTCTCCAGTTGGGTGTCCAATAATTAATTCAGTTCAATTTTGACACTACCTACCTGGGGGCAGTATCATATCCTACAAATTAAAGAGCTCAGTCCCACAAGACTGTCCTCATTTCAGATGCAAAATACAAATCCCAGGTATCCATACTTCTGACCTAGCCTAGGGTTCCCACAACCTACTCCCTCAGGTTTGATTAATTTGTAGAAAGACTCACAGAACTCAGGAAAACACTTTAATTACTATTACCAGTTTATAATCCTATATAATAAAAGACTAATATGTTAAGTGTCCGGTCAACCAGTTGGCCGTTCAACCAATCAAAGCATAATATGCTAATGATATGCTAAGGCCTCTCAACCACTCGCTATGACATGCACTGACCACCAGGAGGCAGACAGTCGACCAGTTGACCAGTTGCTATGACGTGCACTGACTACCAGGGGGCAGACGCTCCGACCGGTAGGTTAGCTTGCTGCTGGGGTCCAACCGATCTGGACTGAGCGAGATGGGCCAGACACACCCTCCCGTAGTCCCTCTCTGCTAGCCAACCTCCCTTGTCCCTCCCCGGCCCCAATCGTGCACAGGTGGGGTCCCTTGACCTGGCCTGCACCCTCTCGCAATCTGAGACCCCTTGGGGGATGTCAGAGAGCCGGTTTTGGCCCGATCCCTCAGGGTAGGCTGAGGGACCCCACTGGTGCATGAATTCGTGCACTGGGCCTCTAGTCCTATCTAATAATAGATAAACATGGTAATTGATCATACCTCCGCTATGTTTCCCATTGGCTAATCAGCAGGATATGCAAATTAACTGCCAACAAAGATGGCGGCCAGCAGCCACGCAGCTGAAGCAAGCGGGAGGCTTGCTTGCTCCAGTGATGGAGGAAGCCAAGGTTCCCCGCCTGCCGCGGCCCGGCTATGAGCTCCGGAAGCAATGTTTTAATTATAGAAGCTAAACAAAACCCAGATACCTGCTTTCAGCCAGCCGGGGCCTCAGAGCTTAGAGCGCCAGTGATGGCAACAGAGTTTCAATTATAGAAGCTAAACAAAGCCAGATACCTGCTTTCAGCCAGCCACGGCCTCAGAGCTGGAGCCGGGCCTCAGTTATAGAAGGTAAATAAATCCCAGAATAAAAAGAAAAAAGAAAAAAAGGAGAGGCTGGGAGCTTCAGTCGCCCGCCAGCCTGAAAACGGCCCTCAGCCCCTCACCCAGACTGGCCAGGCACCCCAGTGGGGACTCCCACCCTGAAGGGGGTGTGACCAGCTGCAAACAGCCATCAGCCCGTCATCCAGGCTGGCCAGGCACCCAAGCGGGACCCCCACCCTGATCTGGGACACCCTTCAGGGCAAACCAGCCGGCCCCCACCTGTGCACTAGGCCTCTATCCTATATAGTAAAAGGGTAATATGCAAACTGACCCTAACAGCAGAAAGACTGGGAATGACTGGTCACTATGACACACACTGACCACCAGGGGGCAGACGCTCAATGCAGGAGCTACCCTCTGGTGGTCAGGGCACTCCCACATGGAGGAGCTCTGCTCAGCCACAAGCCAGGCTGATGGCTGCCAGTACAGCGGTGGTGGGAGCCTCTCCTGCCTCCTCAGCAGCGCTAAGGATGTCCGACTGCAGCTTAGGTCTGCTCCCCGCTGGCAAGTGGACATCCCCCGAGGGGTCTCAGACTGCGAGAGGGCACAGGCGGGTCTGAGGGACCCCCTGCCCCCGAGTGCACAAATTTTTGTGCACTGGGCCTCTAGTAAAAGATAAAACTCAAGAACAGCCAAATGAAAGTGATGCATAGGGTAAGATAAGTGGATAGGGGCATGGCATGCCCTCCCCATGAATGCCTCTCTTCTAGCACTTCTAGGTGTTCACCAACCAGGAAGCTTTCAGAACCCTAATGTTTAGAGGTTTTTATGGAGGCTTCATTACATAAGCATGACTGATTAAATCACTGCCCACTGTGATTATCTGAATTTCTAGCCATTCTCTTCTTGGACAGAGTTCCTATGTGCCAAAGGTTAAGTTCTCCCTGTAGGTTGGAATGTAAGACTGAAAGTTTTAAGTTTCTAATCAGGGTTTAGTCTTTCTGGAGAGCAGGCCCCATACTGAAACTCGGAGCCCCTCACCAAGGGTCATTTCATTAGCACACCAAAGATACTCTTCTCAATCAGGAGTTCCAAAGGTTTTAAAAGCTTTGTGCCAGACACTGGGACAAAGATCAAGTAACTTCTTATATCACAACCTAATTTCAGAATATTCCAGAGAGCTGTGATTATAGCTGTAACATTTAGAGTTATTTAGAGCATGCACTCAATAAATAGGTGAGGAAGGTTACATGGCATGCCTGATTCAAGCCTTCTGCATGCAAAGACTAGTCAAAAAATCATTCATTTATCAATAATCCTTTATACTGTACACAGTCCTCGGGTTACGTTGGACTCAACATACATCGTTTCATGGTTACGTTGCCATCTCCCATTTATTTATAAAAAAAAAAGTTCCGTCATTTTGACATATGTACATATGTGCTTTATGTTTTTTATTACTTATTTACCACAAGTAAAGGTCAGGAATTGTTATCTTTCTTTTAAATTTTTTTTACTGTTTCACTTCATTACTGCTGTATATGTGCTCCATGTGAGTGACGTAGGTGCTTATATAGGTGGGTTCTGACTTACGGCGAAAATCGTGTTACATCATGCCGTAGGAACGGATCTCCGACATAACCCAAGGACCTGCTGTATTTGCCTTAACAATTGCAACCAAGTGAATTTATTCCATAATATGTAATTTATCTGGCATCATAGTGATACATCTGAAAATGGTAACTTGACAGGAGAAAATAGGGCAGGTACTAATTCAAAGAAAAAAAAATTATCTGTGAAAAGATTCCATATGTATTTGGAACTGAAATCTTAATCTTTCACAAAGAACCTCAATTTTGTTTTATGTAATATTTTCCATCTTTAGGTGTCTTTATTATGAAAGTAATATAGGTATCTTAGAGATATTTTTATACTTACTATATAAAGCAGCATTGTCCAACAGAATTTTCTGCACTGATGGAAATGTTCTATATCTGTGCTGTCCAATTGGGTAGCCACTAGCCACATGTGGCTACTGAGCACTTTTAAATATGGCTAGTGCACAGTTAGAGAAAGACAAGTATCACATGATCTCACTCATATGTAGCATCTAACGAACAAAATAAACTGATGTACAAAATAGATCCAGAGATACAGAAGCCTGGAACAGACTGTGGAATCTCAGAGAGAAGGCGGTGGAGGGTGGATGGATAGGAAGAAATCAACTAAAGAACTTGTATGCATATATGTATAACCCATGAACACAGACAATAGGTGTGAAGGCCTGGGGTGAGGGCGGGCTAGAAGAGGTCAATGGGAGAGAAAGGGGACGTATGTAATACTTTCAGCAATAAAGATTTTTTTTAAAGAGAATGAATTTTTAAAAAATGTGGCTACTGCAAACAAAGAATTAAATTTTAAATTTTATTTTAATTAATTCAAATTTAAATAGCCATGTATAGGTAGTGACTACCATATTGAGTGCATAGATATGAGGTTCCTCATCCTTTTTCTGGAAGTTGGAAAAGTTTAAAAACTTGACAGTAATTTGCCACTGTCAGATTTTATTTATTATATTTTATGAGTATTGCTCCTCAATAAATTGGAAGTTTAAAATAAAACACCTGTTCTCACCACAGTTACAGAGCACTGTCCTAAGTCCACTGTTTCTTGGGGGAGTGTGGGTCCACATTGTTGAGATCAGTTTCTCTCTGTATGGTTATCAATTGGTTCTTATGTTCCCATAAAATCTGCCCCAGCTAAACACTACGTAATCTACTGCGCATGTTACTTCATGATATTATTTTATATCTTAACTTTTTGAGAGAGATTATAAATAGCCCAGTATGAATACATGATCCAACAGATTTGCCTTTACTGAAATTAAAATGGCCATCTTTCCAACAAGAACTGAACAGAAAACAAATGTTTACAGCAGTCTTTAAGATGAATATAGTTTACATTCATTTCTTTTTTAAAAAATATTTTTTTATTGATGTTTAATTTATTTGGGTCTTGAGATTTAATTTATTTGGGTCTAGAATCTTAAATATGTTTAAATAAAGTAGCATTCTAGGACCCCTCTTAAACTGTCACAGACTTCAGTTTCTTTTCATTTTTGTCTGGTCTTTCCAACTTGAGGGCAGCAGCGATAGTTATAAGTACTGATTTCCCAGTTTCAAATCTAGTGCCCATATGGCCTGCTGTGTTACAGTTTCTATTCTTGAACACCTATTTTACTTATATGTGTGTGTATGTAAATACATGGAGGTTAGGAGTGTGTGTGTTTTCTTTAAAAAAAAAAAATAAGCTCTTTTGGGTGTTTATGTGCACGTGTTATAAAAAGTCAAATGGCTTAAATTCAAACCTGAGTCTTCTAGCAGTGGGGCAAGAGCCCACTTTCACCATGTATATTAGCCAAAGCTATACACCTGGTGTATCTCTAATGCAGGGGTCCTCAAACTTTTTAAACAGGGGGCCAGTTCACTGTCCCTCAGACTGTTGGAGGGCCAGACTATAGTTTAAAAAAAAACTATGAACAAATTCCTATGCACACTGCACATATCTTATTTTGAAGTAAAAACACAAAACAGGAACAAATACAATATTTGTATTTGCATGTGGCCCACGGGCCGTAGTTTGAGGACCCCTGCTCTAATGAATTCCACTACTTAAGCTGGCTGTGTATTCCTAAAAAATTACTCAACTAAGAAAAAGAATTAAGCCAGGTTTCCTAACAACACAAAAGTAGGTATTTTTGTAAAAATTATCATTAAAATAACTTTTTAAAAAGTCTTTCTTATTTTTAGAGAGAGAGGAAGGGAGAGGGGAGAAAGAGAGAAACATTGATGTGAGAGCAGAACATCGATTAGCTGCCTCCTGCATGCCACCTACTGATCGAACCTGAAACCCTTCAGTGCATGGGACAATGCCCAACCACCTGAGCCACACTGGCCAGGGCTAAATTTGTTTTTATATGTACCTATGTTATAGTTCACTTATATGGAGTAGAAATTAAATTAAACTTAGGAATAAAATTTTAAAAGCCAGTTTCCTGTCAGATCTAAGATTTTCACTCTGGTTTTCCATTGACAAATTATATGACATTGAGCAACTCAGTTAGGGCCAAGAACCGCTGTCTTAAGTTATTCACCATTTAGTTTGCCAGTTTGCCTATGTGACCACTGACCTGCTAGACTCCAGAGGCTTAACTAATAAAAGCAAAACAAATAATAAACTCATGATCTGCAGAGGAAATACAAAATAATTCTTTAAACATAATTCTGGTCAAGAATGAAATGTGGCCTTAAAATTCGTAATGGTTAAGGAAGAAAATCCTGAGCCTAATTAGATACATCCCTTCATATGAAAAGATCTCAGTCAAGCTACGTTTGAAACAAGAAGACAATCAGTTGGGGAAAGATCCTATAAAGTTAACTGATTATAGAGAGAAGGGGAGGCTCAAAAACAATTTGCCTTTGACTTTTCTACCTATAACTATCGCTGCTGCCCTCAAGTTGGAAAGACCAGACAAAAATGAAAAGAAATAAAAAATAGAAAAATACTGCCCTGATTTTTTTTTTTTTTTTAAGGGAACCTTCCAGCCCTGGCCGGTTTGGATCAGCGGTTAAAGCCTCAGCCTGCGAACAGAGGAGTTGCTGGTTTGTCCCAGCCCCTGCCAGGGCACGTGGGGAAGGCAACCAATTGATGTGTCTCACATTGATGTTTCTCTCTCTCCCCCTCCACCTCTTTTTTTATTTTTTTTATTATTTTTTATATATATATATATATATATATATATACATATATATATATATATATTGATTTTAGGGAGAGAGAGAGAAACATCAATGTGAGAGAGAGACATTAATGAGTTGCCTCCCACATCGATGCAGGAGGCAGCCAATTGATGCTTCACTCTCACATTGATGTTTCTCTCTCTCCCTCCCCCTTCCTCTCTTTAAAAATTAATAAAAATATTTTTTTAAAATTTCAGATGATTTGGACTTCCAAACTATAGAAAAATTAATTTAGAACCTTAAAAAAACTACACAGTAAAATAAAGATTAGATCTCTTTCCATGACATTAGGTATCCTGGCTTCATTCATAACATTATCTATACTTTATTTTACTAGTAAATACATACTTAATTCTCTGCTTAGAATGTAAGCTCCTTGAGATCATTGAATTCTCATTGTTTCCATAACACCTGCTACATATTTTTGTAGTATTTGGACTCTTTTTTTTTTTTTTAAATATGTTTTATTGATTTCCTACAGAGAGGAAGGGAGAGGGATAGAGAGTTAGAAACATCAATGAGAGAGAAACATTGATCAGCCGCCTGCTGCACGCCCCTAACTGGGGATGTGCCCGCAACCAAGGTACATGCTCTTGACCGGAATCGAACCCGGGACCCTTGAGTCCGGAGGCCAACGCTTTATTCACTGAGCCAAACCGGTTCTGGCCCCCTCTTTTTTTTAAAAAATCAATGGAAAAAATAACCTCATGCCCTAGCTGGTTTGGCTCGGTGGATAGAGTGTCAGCCTATGAACTGAGGGGTCCCAGGTTCAATTTCGGTCAAGGGTACATGCCCGGGTTGTGGGCTCGATCCCCAGTAGGGGGACGTGCAGGAGACAACCGATCAATGATTCTCTCATCAGTGATGTTTCTATCTCTTTCTCCCTCTTCCTTCCTCTCTGAAATCAATAAAAATATATTTTAAAAAAAATAACCTCAGGTGAGGATTTAAAAAAATAATAATAATAAAGAGAACAATCCAGAAAGTACAGAATGGTCAGCTTACTATTGATCCCTAAACAATTCTAAAAGAGAGAATCAGGCCATGTGACTTTTAAATACTTATGATTTAAAAAGCCAACATGGACTAGTTTACAAAAAAAAAAAGTGCAAATAAAATTAATCATACTTTTTGATAAGGGTTGATAAAGTTTGATAATAATATAGAATGCTACAGCAGTGAATCCTGATTTCTCATAGTCTTATGAGTAAGAAAGAGAAACATAGGCAGGACAATGGTGGAGGTAAATAAATTCACAACTGGTTGAACAGTTCTTTATGAAGAGTAATAAAAAGAGGTCTCTAGCAGTGAGCTTCAATAAAGACTACAAAGCTTATTTAAATATTTGTGCAAGATGAAAAGCTAGTAAGAAAATATAACAGATAAGAGCAGAGGTCCTCAAACTTTTTAAACAGGGGGCCAGTTCACTGTCCCTCAGACCATTGAAGGGCCGGACTATAGTTTAAAAAAAAAAACGATGAACAAATTCCTATGCACACTGCACAGATCTTATTTTGAAGTAAAAACGGGAACAAATACAATATTTGTATTTGCATGTGGCCCGCGGGCCGTAGTTTGAGGACCCTGGATAAGAGTTTCAAAATTCGAAAGGATTATGATAAGCTAGGATAATAGGACACTTAAGAATGAACCAACTCCTGCATTTAAGCTTAAAATATAATTATCTACATATAAGATGGGGAACAGTTTGTCTGGAGGCAATTTATATAAAAACAATCTATTTTAGTGATTTAGAGTGATTTACCTTTTTTAAAAGGTAATAAGACTTTATGCTGTATATAAGAAAGTCAGAATTCAGCTACTGAAATGGCCAGTTAAAGTGTTTTAAAACTGTGAACTTAGCTTTCTCTGAGAGTTTTTGATGAGCCTTTAGACTCAAACTGCAATGACATTTCTAATATTTGTAAATGCAAATCATATGCAATAGTGTCAATCTACAACTCTCATAAACACTGAAAAGAAAAAAAGAATTCTGTATTGACAACTTTTTTTTGTTACTTTACTATGTAGCTGAAAGGGCAATCAACTTAATAACTTACTTTCTAAAGACACTTTTTGGTTTTTTGAAATTCTGTTCCCTACGCTAGCACAAAACGTTTTCAGAAACTTCCCTTTAACTAGTACTTGAAAGTTTTAATATAGGCATTACCTACTAAAAATAAAGACTAAATGTCAGAGTGTCAGATTTCCTCGTATACAATTCTACTGAGGAATTCTGCTGAGGAATCTATACTGAAATTAGTGGTTAAAGAAGAAAAGGTCAGCCCGGCTAATGTGGTTCAGTGGTTGAGCATCAACCCATGCACCAAGAAATTGCCAGTTTGATTTCCAGTCAAGGCACATGCCCCGGTTGAGGGCTTGATCCCCAGTGGGGGCCATGCAGGAGGCAGCTGACCAATGTTTCTCTCTCATCAGTGTTTTTTTTTCTCTCTCTCTGCCTCTTCCTTCTTCTCTCTAAAAATCAATAAAAACATTTTAAAAAAAGAAAAGGTCAGAAAAATGTAGCCTAGTCTTATAAAATTTCTGATACTAATTTAGCACTATTATGCATTTTAAAAACTGAACTGATACTGAAAGAAACAATTTTTACCCTTTTCAATACTCCACTTTAAAAGAAATCATCCAGGAAAAATAATTTTCTAGTTAAAAAAAAAAACCAACCAGTTTGGTAGATTTCAATCTAATAATATACAAAGACATCCTAAGCTAAATTTTATTAAAAGACTTGATTATCTAAGGATATTAAAAGTAAATAACCTATTAAGGGACTCATGAAATTTTATCCTACCTAAAATACTAAAATTTACAACTTTTAATGCTTTTAGTGGGAATCTTTTTTCATATATTCTATCTACTCTTCTGTAAAATGAATAGCAAGAGTAAACCTCTTTCTGGGAGCAAAACTATTAACAACAAGATTAAATTAAACGGATATACATACAGAACTGTACTGTCTTCTGGAACAAAGTCTTCATATGATGTAGATGGCAATGAACCTGATTTGTTTTCCTGTTCATTCTCGGTCAAAGATTTATGATCTACATTAAAAAAAAAAAATACAAACATGAGTAACAAGTACACCAATTTAAAAATCATTCACAATATCTAAGTAATATCTTTATTAACTAGAGATATACTGAGCCTTTAAATCTGCAAACATATTAAGGTATCAAGATTGAGCCAAAAAGTTAAGTGTGAATATTTTTAAAAACATCAAGAAAATAAGATAGGATGAAATGAAAGATAGGATAAAAGAGATTTCTAATGCAGAAAACTCTAGTTTGGCCTGAACTTTATTTGAATTTTAATCAACCTTTAAGGTGAACATCAAGTATCCCTACTTTCGTTTGTATTATATAGAAAAATAAGATAAGGCTTTATAAAAAGGCTACAAATAAGAAGTTTATGTATCTTTTCTTTTCTCATTGCTCTACTATTACCTATTTTATAGGGGGAATTGAGTAGGATATTTGGATACCTCTTTTTGTCTTTCCATTTGTTTTTTTATATTTCTCTTAGTCTCTCCTGTATCTTTCTGCACTTAATTTTGTTTATTGTCTCTTTCTTTTTCCACTCATCTATTCTTACTCTGTAACATGATTATAATATAGACATAACTGTGTATTTAATTAACTAAATTAGTTTTCTGGTTCTTATTGTGAAAAATGGTATGTGGAATATTCTATAAGTTTGGTTTAAAGAGGTGTTTTGTTTTTTTTTAAATGCACTTTTTCCTAGACAATGATGAACCTTAAGAAAAAAATGATTTCTCATCCTGCCTTGGATTATTAGCTTACTCTGTCCTTTAGTGCAAACCAGTCTTATAAAAAAGAAAAAAAAAATTTAAGTCAATAAAAGATTAGGTTATAATCCAAGGCCACTCCTTGGCCCATTGAAAAACAAAGATCCCTCTTTAATTATCTAGGTAAAGAAAGAAAGTTTAAAATCTGATAGTTGCAGTGAGTTATAATAACTGACTAAAAATAAATAAATTCTACAAATTAAGAATTTCTGATTTTAACAGAAAACTTCTTTGCATGAATTAGTGTAAACCCATACTAACAAATATGAATAGACAAATGTATATAAGCATAGTTAGAAATAAGATTTACTGAAAAACATGGAGGTTTAAAATTAATCATTAGTTAAGGGGTAAAGGGGAAATAATAATTTATCTCAAAAAAATATCTAATCCTTTGTATGGGGACCCAGCAAATATTTACAGCTTATTATACACAAGCAAGGAAAATAAAGGTAATTTTTAGTGATTTGTGGAGCATAGGCTGGGTCTGGGATGGCTTGTTTTGACCTCAACACCAAATCATTTTGTTTCTCCCATCTCAGTTTATTTATTTATTTATATTTTTTAAATATATTTTTACTGATATCAGAGAGGAAGGGAGAGGAAGTGAGAGATAGAAACATCAATAATGAGAGAATCATTGATCTGCTGCCTCCTGCACGCCCCCGACTGGGGATCAATTTTGTCTGGAGTCAAACCTGGGACCCTTCAGTCCATAGGCCAACGCTCTATCCACTCAGCCAAACCAGCCAGGGCCCAGTCTCAGTATTTTTTAAAATACTAACATGAAATTTTATTACTAGAAAGTTGTTAATCCTTTTATTTGCCATATATAACAAATCTATGGCCAACATCGTACTCAATGGGCAAAAACTAAAAACACTTTCCCTAAAAACAGGAACACACAGGGTTGTCTGCTTTCATCGCTTTTATTCAACATAGTACTGGAAGTCCTAGCCACAGCAATCAGACAAGAAGAAAAAAAAGGCATCCAAATTGGAAAGAAGGATGTAAAATAGTCATTATTCGCAGATGACATGATATTATACACAGAAAACCCTAAAGACTCCACCAAAAAGTACTTTTTTTGCAATGCAGGATAAAAATTTATACCTAGAATTTGTTGGCATTTTTATACACCAATAATGAACTCTCAGAAAGAGAAACGAAAAAAAAAAATCCCATTTACCAGGGTAACAAAAAAATTAAGATACTTAGGAATAAACTCAACCAAGGAGGTAAAAGACTTGTACTCAGACAATTACAGAATGTTGAAAAAAAAGATACAAGAAGATATAAACAAGTGGAAGAATATACCATGTTCAAGGACTGGTAGAATTAGTATCATTAAAATTTGCATGCTACCCAAACAATCTATAGATTCAATGCAATCCTTATTAAAATACCAACGGCATGTTTCATAGATCTAGAACAAACACTCCAATTTATATGGAACCAAAAAAAGACCCTCAATAGCTGAAGCAATTTCTTGAGAAAAAATAACAAAGTTGGAGGGATCACAATACCAGATAACAAGCTATACTATACAGCCACTGTAATCAAAACAACCTGATACTGGCACAAGAACAGGCATATAGACCAATGGAACGGAACAGAACCAGAAATCGACCCAAGCCATTATGCTCAATTAATATTTGGTAAAGGAGGGAGGCAAGAAAATACACTGGAGTAAAGACAGTCTCTTCAATTAATGGTGTTAGGATAACTGGACAGATACATGCAAAAAAAATGAAACTAGACCACCAACTTACACCATACACAAGAATAAACTCAAAACAGAAAAAAGATGTAAATGTGAGTTGTGAAACTGTAAAAATCCTTGTAGAAAACATAGGAAGCAAAATATAAGACATTGCACGTAGCAAAATTTTCACTGATACAAAGCCTAGGCCCTAGGGCAAGAGAAACAAAGGGAAAAATAAACAAATGGGACTACATCAAAATAAAAAGCTTCTGCACAGCAAAAGAAATCAGCATCAAAATGAAAAGGGAACCCACTGTATGAGAGAACATATTTGCCACTGATACATACATCTGATAAGGGGTTAATATCTAAAATGCCCGATTGATGTGGGTCAGTGGTTGAGCAACGAACCTATGAACCAGGAGATCCTGGTCAGGGCACAGGACCGGGTTTTGGGCTTGATCCCTAGTAGGGAGTGTGCAGGAGGCAGCTGATCAATGATTCTCTCTCATCATTGATGTTTCTAACTCTCTCTCCTTCTCCCTTCCTCTCTGAAATCAATAAAAATATATATTAAAATAAAACAAACAAAAAATATATATAAAGTACTCATGCAACTCAACGAGAGGAAGAAAAACCCAAACCAAAAAAATGTGCAGAAGACCTAAAATGACACTTATTTCTCCAATAAGGACATACAAATGGCCAAGAGATACATGAAAAAAATGCTCAATGTCACTAATCATGAGAGAGATGCAAATTAAAACAACGAGGTACCACCTCACATCTGCCAGAATGACTACCATTAACAAATCAACAAACAAGTACTGGTGAGGATGTGGAGAAAAGAAACCCTTAGTACACTGCTGGTGGAAATGTAGACTGGTACAGCCACTATGGAAAATAGTGTGTGTTTCCTCAAAAAATTAAATATGGAACTGCCGTGTGACCCAGTGATCCCACTTCTAGGAATATAACGTAAGAAGCTGGAAACACCCATTAGAAAGAATATATGCACCCCTATGTTCATAGCAAATTTATTTACAAAATCTAAGATCTGGAAATTGCTCAGGTGCCCATCAGTAGATGAATGGATAAAAATATAGTGGTACATTTACACAATGGAATACTATGCAGCTGTAAAAGAAGAAGGATCTCTTACCCTGTGAGACAGCATGGAGGGACCTGAGAGCATTATGCTAAGTGAGATAAGTCAGTCAGAGAAAGACAAGTTTCACATGATCTCACTTATTTTTTTTAAATGTATTTTACTGATTTTTTTACAGAGAGGAAGGGAGAGGGATAGAGAGCTAGAAACATCGATCAGCTACCTCCTGCACACCCCCTAATGGGGATGTGCCCGCAACCAAGGTACATGCCCTTGAATGGAATCGAACCTGGGACCCTTCAGTCCGGAGGCCGATGATCTATCCACCGAGCCAAACCAATTAGGGCCACATGATCTCACTCATATGTGAAATCTAATGAACAAAATAAACTGACAAACAAAATATATCCAGAGACATTGAAGCATGCAACACACTGAGGATCTTTAGAGGAAAGGGAGAAATCAACCAAAGAAATTATATACATACTAGAGGCCTGTTGCACGAAAAGATTCGTGCAATAGGCTTTCCCTTCCCCTGGCTGCCGGCACCAGTTTTCCTCTGGCATCCGGGACCCAGGCCTTCGCTCCAGCCAGAGCCGCCTTCAAGCCTTCGCTGCCCCGCCGGGCCGCCCCGGATCGGGTCGCACATGGGATGCCCGCCGCCCCGGGTCGCAGATAGCAGGCCCAGATGGCGGCAGGGCAGGCGGGATGGTGCTGTCCCGCCCCACCGCCCTGGGTGGCAAATAGCAGACCCGGATGGCGGTGGGGCAGGCAGGATGGCACTCTCCCACCCTGCCTGCAGTATGCAAATTAGCTGCCATCTTTGTTGGTGGTTAATTTGCATATCACGCTGATTAGCCAATGGGAGGCGTAGCGAAGATATGGTCAATTACCATGTTTGTCTATTATTAGGTAGGAGGATATGCATAACCCAACAGTGGGGTGAAGGCCTGGGGAGGGGTCAGGAGTGGGGAAGAGGGGAGTCAATAGAGAAAAGGAATGGGGACATCTGTAACAATAAAGATAAATTTAAAAAAAAATTTTAAATGTCAATTATATAACTCCCCACTTACTTAAAAACATTGCTCTACCACTGGCAAACACATACTTTTATATTAATAAGTTTATTTTAATAAGTTCATTGCAACTCAGATAAACTACTAAAAATATTAAATTACAATATTCAGCATCTCTACTGACAAAATTACTACTTTAAAAGAACCAAAACAAAACCCCAACTTAACTTCTTTTTTAATTAATCCCCACCCAAGAATATGCTATTTTTTTAAACTGATTTTATAGAGAGAGGAAGAGAGATTGAGATGAAGGAGAGAGAGAGAGAGAGAGAGAGAGAGAGAGAGAGAAAGAAACATCAATCGGTTGCCTCCCATACACAACCTGACCAGGGATCGAACCCACAATCTAGGTATGCACCCTGACCAGCAATGGAACCCACAACCTTTTGGTGTATGAAATGACGCTCCAGCCAACTGAGCCACCAGGGCCACTTACTTTCTTTTAGTGGGAAATATATTGTCTCCGAAATAAAAAAAGAATTGTTTAAATTTAGTTATCTAACCACCTCCTGTATTTAAAAGCTTTTCTTCAAAACTACTATTAAAAAAAACCACACACACACAAAAAAAAACGAAAAGAAAAAAAAAAAAGAAAACTACTATAATCCTTTAAGGGTGTGCTGATTCCAAGTGCAACTGAAGGATACTGCGAAAGGCTATTTTCAGACAGAATCTAATATTATTATAAAAATATATGTTAGCTACCGAAATTGAGAATACTTTTGAGCAACAAAAGATTTCTTTAAAATATACTGATGATGCTAGGCTATATTTTCAGAGATTTAAAACCTTAAGGCTCCAAATTACAGCAGTTAAAATTATAATTTATTGATAATATTTAGTAGTAACTCACATCTAATAAATGTGCTTCCCAAACACTTTAGCAAATCAGGGATAGACTAAGATTTATAGAATATAAATAGAATATATTTATATATATTTACAGGATAGTGATTCTAATAAAGTAACTTTTAATATTTCTTTTTCTAGTCCTGGTATGTTATTTTTGATTAACTGTAACATAAATTTGTTTAGAGTTTTGAAGACTGACACCTATCTATCTATACCAGAATATTCCTTCCTAGTAGTGTTCTTCACACAAAGCTGGTTTTTGGTGATTTCAAGTCTTAAAATTTTATTTGCCCTTCTTATACAAAAAGCTTTTATGAAGAAGAGATACATTTGTTCATTACTTCCATAGGAGGCTTTGTAGAGTGTGCATTTCCTTTATCTGGATGGGTAGGAATTTTCATTTAATAGAGAAATTAAACTGATTTATATAGTTTAGTTAGCCTGACATAATTAGGTGGGCCTGCTTCAGATCAAGAAAATACCAGAAAATACTCTAGATTGGGATTAAAAATGTACATACCTTTTATCAATGTTAAATTGTTATTTATAGTTGCTTCATTCACTAGAATCATTGCTTGAATGTACTCTGTTAAGGAAAGGAAAAAAGAATGAAAGCTATCAGCAGCAGCATCACCTTTATTCAAGGTCCCAGCTACTGTGCAATTTACATCTTTTATCTCATTTAATCTTCACAATTCCTCTGAGAGGTTCTTATGAGTATCTGTATTAGAGATAAAGAAATTGAAGCTTAGAGGTTAGAGATAAAGAAATTGAAGCTTAGAGGTTAAGCTATTTATTATAGGTTATTTAGCTAGGAAGTGGTATTGGATTCAAATCTAGGTATATCAGACTCATAAAGGCATGGGGAGGAATATGAACCAGTAATTTTATTGCTAGCTTTACCAAGTGGCCAGATAAATTTTTATTGAATGAGTACAAAAAGCATTTTACATAAATGTTAAAGGCACGCTTTAAAATTAAATACCCATTGCATTTTGAAGTTATTTATTACATGTTCTTACAAGCTAACATCTTTTTAAAGTATGATACTTTGTAAAATACTGTGTAATATGAAGTGAGAATTCTCGTGTTAAAATTTTTCATTTTAACAGTACTAATTTTTTTGACAAGCACATAGTAAATTAATATTATAAGAACACCCAAAAGTATTCAGAATAGTCTGAGGAAAAATAAATAGTCTGGGGAAAATTTGCTTGAAAATCGTATGTCCTGATGGAATATGGAGGTTTCCACATAAAAGTCTTATGTTCTACAAACAACCAGAGTTGAAGAAAAATAAATTGAAAACAAAAACCTTGGATGACTGAATGAGTGCCTATGTAGAATGTATGTTTTACTTTCAGAAGACTAGTAAGGCAAATTCTACTTAAAGGAGGCAAAATACAGTTACATGTATTTTTATATTAAAAAAAAAGTAGCTGTCACTGTATGATGGAATAATGGGTAATTTTTGTTATGTTTTCTATATATACCAAATGTACAATAAGCAGACATTATGCCCGCCCCAAAGAAAAGATAAAAAGACAAAAAGAAAATGGGGGGAGGGGGGTATAACAAGTAGCCTGAGATGAGATAAATACAATAGCTATTATCTATAATAATAAAAGCATAATATACTAATTAGACCAGACAGCCAAACGACCTTCCGGCCATCACTCCGGACATCCTTCTGGACGAAGCCATGGCAGCGGGGGCTGAGGCAGAGGCGGTTAGGGGCTATCAGGGAGGCAGGCGAGCAGTTAGGGGCAATCAGGCAGGCAGGCAGAGGCGGTTAGGGGCAAACAGGCAGGCAGGCGAGCGGTTAGGAGCCAGCAGTCCCGGATTTTGAGAGGGATGTCCGACTGTCAGTTTAGGCCTGATCCCGCAGGGGGATTCCTGCGGGATCAGGCCTAAACTGGCAGTCGGATATCCCCTGAGGGGTCCCGGATTGCGAGATGGTGCAGGCCAGGCTGAGGGACACCCCTCCCATGAATGAATTTCATGCATGGGGCCTCTAGTTTAAAATAAGCATCTTCCCCAGTTTTACAAAATAGACATGGTATGGTAAAAAGCAAGTTTTTATAGAAGCAGAGCATAGAAACATACTAAAAAGCAAATAAAACTGATGTTAGGTTCTTAAAAACAAAGAAATAATTTGACTTTTAAAACAAACTACTGGAAATAGAATTATACTGTACACCAATGGGTTACATTAAGTATTAAATGTACTAAGTTTTTATTGCTTTGTACCTTTATTTGTGGCAGACCCATCTTTGATCTTCTGCTTCAGTGACAGCAGCACATTTTGCACTTGCTCAAATATGATGTCCACTTTTCCATCATCCTCCAGTTCCATCCAGAAATTTTTTGCATCCCCTAAGGACAAATCAGTGAATAGTCTAAGACCTCAATAGAAATAAATTGTAGCCCTGGCTGGGTAGCTCAGTTCGTTAGAGTATTGTCCCGAGATGTCAAGTTTGTGAGTTCAATCATATTCACCTTACCAATAAAAGATGTCTGGCTAATTGGGGCTGCCTCCACAGCAGCCTCAGGAGGGGTGCTGTTTCTGTGTTAACAGAAACTTGTCAGGGCACAAACAAGTATCAATCAATAAATGCATAAATGGAGGTTTCTCTCTTCCTTCCCCTCTCTCTCTCAAATTAATAAATTTAAAAAAACTTAAAAATAGACTATAATTTCCCCATGGCACATGTTACAAACAGTCTGTTTGGTTTATAAATAAAATCAAGTTTTAATTATTTTTCACTTTCTTTGAGGAAGATGATTTTGGTAATTGTTTCTTAACAAAAATCTAGATACAAGGAATATGATCTAAGTATGTCACTTGTTTCTGCTAACTTGAAAAATATGATAACTTTAGTGACACTATTTCTTGACTGGAAAACAAAAGGAATGACTTCATTCAAGGGTGGTAGTGGACATTCACAGACACATTCATTTAAAAACTTTAAGGAATATAACATCCACTGAGTATGGAGGTGGATGGCTTCAGAATGAAACATCTCGACAATGGTTAAAATAATTAAATGTCCAACAATAATGCTTTTTAAATGACTTTTATAGTCCAGCTGGTATGGCTCAGTGGTTGAACATTGAACTATGAACCAGGAGGTTACGGTTCAATTCCTGGTCAGGGTATATGGAAGGTTTCAGGCTTGATCCCCAGCAGTGGGTATACAAGGAGGCAGCCAATTAATGATTCCTTCTCATCATTGATGTTTCTATCTCTCCCTCTCCCTTCTCTGAAATAAAATTTTAAAAAAGATTTAAAAACAAATAAAATGTCTTTTACATTACTTTAATAACATGAAACAAAATGTTTAAAAGTTTTTATAAAGTTATATAGATGATCCAAAATTTCATATGCCCAGCAAGCTAACTCCTTAACAACTTTCTAGAGAAATAATCCTTTCAAGTTAAAAACAAGAATATGAGAAAGGCAATTAAAATAAATTGGCAAAAGCAAAATCTCATTTTAACCAGGTTTACAAGTAACAAAAATATCTTAAAATGTATTTGTAAAATGTTAAAATTAATTAATGAAGACTTAAGCAAAAGAGGAACAAAATAATTGCACTTCAGAAAGGTCACTTGAGAAGCCATGATGATTAATGAAAGCCCAGTAAGTTTACAAACAGCCAAATTTTCCTTAATAAAAATTAAATCTAGAACCTATAAGTTTGGCCATGGAGTGAGACTCTTCATAAGAAGCTTAGGCCTCTGCCGAAACCGGTTTGGCTCAGTGGATAGAGCGTCGGCCTGCGGACTCAAGGGTCCCAGGTTCGATTCCGGTCAAGGGCATGTACCTGGGTTGCGGGCACATCCCCAGTGGGAGATGTGCAGGAGGCAGTTGGTCGATGTTTCTCTCTCATCGATGTTTCTAACTCTCTATCTCTCTCCCTTCCTCTCTGTAAAAAATCAATAAAATGTATTTAAAAAAAAAAAAGAAGCTTAGGCCTCAGAGTTCTAACTCTTACTGGCGAAGTCACCTTACCAATAAAAGATGTCTGGCTAATTGGGGCTGCCTCCACAGCAGCCTCAGGAGGGGTGCTGTTTCTGTGTTAACATTTTGCCCTGATATGTACTACCCAAGACTGCCCAGCTTTAATTCCCATTGGTACAACTCAGACAATGCTTCAACATTTAAAACAATGTGAGGACAAAAGAGATGAGAAATGATGCTGTAGAAGCATGCAGGAGCCATAACATGGAGGGCCTTGTGTACAGCGCTAAGCAACTTCATTTTTATACAGAAGGCTACAGAGAGCCACTCAAGAGGTTTAAGCATCTTATAATGTGATTAGATTTGTTTCTTATAACACTCATGTGGCAGAGAAAAGAGGGAAGAATCAAGAATGATTTCTAAGTTTCTGACTCAGGCAACCAATTGAAAATCAAATTAGTATACTAACATTGCTGCTACTTTTCTCCAGAAATGAAGGCTGGTATGGCTCAGTTGGTTGAGCATTGTCCCAAGTACAGTGTATACTAATGGTATGCACTGAGATAGGGAATCAAGGTAGAGGCACATATCAGAAATTCAAATAGGGTGAGTAAAATGGATACACAGGCTTCAGAGTAAGATCTGCTCCATATATACAAACTTTGGGTCAATATCACACAACTGCTTGCTGAAGAACAGAGTAGATGATTAAGAAGAATGTGTAGGGAATGAGAAGAGGATCTTCTGTAGAACATCAACATGTAAGAGATGAGTACAAGAAAAGGAATCATGGAGACTGAGGAGCAAGGAGGTGAAAGAACAAGAGTGATTAACAGTCTGTGCTTTGGAATTCAGATGTATGTGGGTTTGAATCCCAGCACAGCCACTTAATTAGATGTGTGACTACATCTGTAAAATGGGAATAATAGCATCTACCTCAGAGTTGATGTACACAGATAAACACATGACAGCAAGAAATTACTGTATATAATTTAACAGGGAATACAGTCTTAGACAAAAGAAATTAATCTTTAAATGTGGAATTTTAGAAATCATTCACTAAGTGGAGAAAATATTTTCTGAAGCAGGGCGTTCTCAGAATCCTTAAAATCATTAAGTTTTTACTGACAGATAACTAACAAAAATCATTGCTTTTAGGCAAAACTATTTGTAAAAGCACTTAACTGATTATTGTTACCATGTTTCTTTTCATGGATAGGACTCAAAACTTCATATTAGGGATTTATCTTTATTGAGGTGGACATTTAAAAGAAGGGTTTTGAAAGGTATTTACAAAGAGCTTTCTGTAGCATAATAATCCTCTGGCTTGAGAAAACAAGCAGTGATGCTGAAAGACAGCAATCAGGACTTACATGAATTTTTGTTTTTCAGTGACTATCATTTAAAGCTGTTAGAAATGGCAATACATGATACCAAATTATTCTGACAGGAAGCATGTACAACAAATTACTTAAAAAATGAACAGGGTAGCTAGCCGGTTTTGCTCACTGGTTAGAGCATTGGCCCGAAGACTGAAGGGTCTTGGGTTCAATTCCGGTCAGGGCACACACCTCAGTTGCAGGCTCAATCCTGGATGAGGCGTATGCAAAAGGCAACCAATTGATGTGTCTCTGTTTCTCCCCCTCCCTTCCACTCTCTCTATAAATCAATAGAAAAATATCCTTGGGTGAGGATTAACAAAAACAAAACAAAACAAAGTGAACAGGGTAAATGCTTAGTCTTGGAATAGATTAATAAAGAGGACACTGACAATATAAGAAAATAAAGCCAATCAGAAAATACGGAAACTATTTGCTAGCAGAATAAATAAATGTAACTAAGCAATTCATATTTATTTGTTCTAGGTTTTTGATATATTGATCCTATGATATCCTTATTATCTCAAACTGCTAAGTTTATTTCTCATATTTCAATGGCTCTTGCTCCTCACTCTTCTTGATCATTTTTCTTCATCTTCTTACTGCGGAAAATTTAACCACAGTAATATTAAGTAAGAAAAGAGGTAACCAACCTCTCTGATAAATGAGATTCAGTTAATAACTTTTTTGAACAGAGACTAAATGAGTATCATACGAAGAAACATCTGACTGACTTCCATTTCAACAGCAGACCGTATGGTTACTACAAAGTAAACAATTTTAGTCTCTTGCTCCTTATTTGTGCATTGTATGCATACTGAGGGTTATAATCTAAAACAAATATTTCAGTATATTTCGCTACAAGACAGTTACAAGCAATACAGAAGCAGTTACTTGAATTGAAAATCAAATTAGTATACTAACATTGCTGCTACTTTTCTCCAGAAATGAAGGCTGGTATGGCTCAGTTGGTTGAGCATTGTCCCAAGTACCGAGAGGTCGCTGATCCATGGTCAGGGCACATGCCCAGGTTTTGGTCAGTGACATGCGAAGGCAACAGATCTCTCTCTCTCTCTCTCTCTCTCTCTCTCTCTCTCTCGCTGATCCATGGTCAGGGCACATGCCCGTGACATGAGAAGGAAACAGATATCTCTCTCTCTCTTTCTCTCTCTCTCTCTCTTACTCTTTCTCTCTCTCCCTCTCTCCCTCCCTCCCTTGCTCTAAAATCAATAAAAACATATTTTAAAAAAATATCCACAATTATCAAAAGGCTATTAAAATATTCTTCCTTTTTCCAATTTCTTGTCTGTGTGAAGCTTCATTTTCTTTACACATTTTAGCCAAAGCAATATATTTGAACAGATTGAATGCAGTAGATATGAGAATCTCTCTTCTAGTAAGCCATCTATTAAAAATTTATAAAAGTGAAAAACAATGGTTTCACTAATTTTTGTTTTTAAAATGCTTATTTTTCACAAAAATATAATTCATGTTAACATGTTTATTATTTTTAAATGAGCCAATTAACTTTTTTATTTTAATCCTCATCCAAAGATATGTTTTTTAAATTGATTTTAGAAAGAGAGGAAGGGAGAAAGAGAAACATTGATGTGAGAGAAACATAAATCGCTTGTCATCTATATGTGCCCTAACCTGGGATCGAACCTGAAACTTGGGTATGTGCCCTGACTTAGAATTGAACCCACAACCTTTTTGGTGTACGGGACAATGTTCCAACCAATTGAGCCACCTGGGAAGAACTAAATTAACATTTTGAAACATCTCGGTTTCAATTTCTAATACAGTAAATATGAACACGTATTATTCACATAAACAAAAGTTGTTTGGGGTTTTAAATACTTTTAAGAGTATAAAGTAGTCCTGAGAGCAAAAGAAAGTTTAAGAACCACTGTCCTAGATAATGGTCCAGTGAAATCAGTACTATATAATCTACATAAAAATTCCTATGTAAAGGGCATTAAAACAATTCTATATAATACTGTAGTAGTACATAAATGACACTATGCATTTGTCAAAACCCAAAGAACTTTAAAGCACAAAGAGTAAACTTGAATGTATGCAAATTTTTTTTTTTTTAAATATTTTTTTAATATTTTATTGATTTTTTACAGAGAAGAAGGGAGAGGGATAGAGAGCTAGAAACATGGATGAGAGAGATCGATCAGCTGCCTCCTGCACACTCCCCACTGGGGACGTGCCCGCAACCAAGGTACATGCCCTTGACCGGAATCGAACCTGGGACCCTTGAGTCCGCAGGCCGACGCTCTATCCACTGAGCCAAACCGGTTCGGCGAATGTATGCAAATTTTAAAATATCATTTAATTGGTTAGGGATCCCTGGAAGGAATAAATGTAGACTGTGACAAGAGAATCTAATTGTATTAAAAATGTATAGACAATCTCCCTGAAGAGCTGGGTGGAAAAGGTATTGACCTAAATAACTGGAAATAAGTGAAGTCTAAAAGTAACAGTAACTGTGCATAGCACTGCTGTTTCCCACCTGGGAATAAATTTACATTTCTGATACTACTATACATACTAGTATACAGGCATATCTTGTTTTATTGTGCTATGCTTTATTGTACTTCACAGATGTTGCATTTTATACAAATCAAAGGCAAGACCCTCCACCAGCAAAAATATTACAATTTGCTTTGATATTCTTTTGTGGTGGTCTGGAACCCAATCCCCAATATCTACAAAGTATGCCTGTCTACTGAAATTGAACAATTACGTAAATGGATCAGATGGTCAGAGCCACATTTCTCAATGTTGGAATGGAAGTTTACAGATAAGCAAGGAGTAGGCTAGAATGATCCACATAGTAATGGATTAGAGTCGGACAAATCAATACAGTCACGTTTAGCTTAATACAGACTCACATGGTTACATATAGAAATACATATAGATATGTATACACGGGTTAGTATACACATATATTTCCATGCTCTGTCACTGAGAGGGCCTAAACCAATGGAACTCCAGTACAAAGAGCATACCTATTGACCATATCTTGGTTTCTAATACAATTTTCCAATGAAAGGAAACAGAGTATATTCAAGAAATGGCTGATTCTAGGACTGGGACAGGAAATATATGTGAGCCTGGAGCATCTTCTAATTCCATAAAATAAAGAAGTACTAAAAAACAAACAAAGTGAAACAAAATCCACCTACATTAATGGGAGTATGTTAAGGGGACACAGAGCCAACTGAAAGAGCTCCCAATGGCCAATCCTGGGACAATTTAAGTAACAAAATAAAGCAGTACTGGATTATAACCCAAAGTATAAAATAAGTATCCATTAATATATAAATAAATGACTGAATAAATACAAAGGTGGGGGAAAGGAGACAAATCTCCCATATAGAACAATTCCAAATAATTAACGTAAATATTCTGCTCTGAAAGAAGAGGAGCATAAAATCCCCATGGATTAAATGTGGGCAGCACATAGTGACTTCCTGTCAAAGAGTACAGTAAGGAAAGGGAGATTTTTTTAAAAAGTCATTTACAGTAGAGAAATAATATAACACTCTCAGCCAGGTGATCAAGCTCAGTATCAAAAGTGAGAAATCATGTTGATAAATATACCCTTGATATGATATGGTAAAATGGCACTTTACAATCCCACAACCTTCTAACCCTACTCATGAGGAAAAAAAGTAGTCAACAATTCCAATAGAGGAGCATCCTAAAAAATACCTGGATACAAAATCCTACAAAATCAAAACCAAAGGAAGTCTGAGGAATGTCACATCTAAGAGGATCCTAAGAAGATATGACAAGATAATGTAATGTGGTATCCTGGATGGGATCATGGAACAGAAAAAGACGTCAGGCAAAAACTAAGGAAATGGGAATAAACCATGGACTTTAGTTCATAATAATGTGTCACTTCTGGTTCATTAACTGTAACAAATGTACCAGCCAAATGTAAGACATTAATCATAGGCAAAACTGGGTGCAGGAATATGGGAACTCTCTGTACTATCCTCTCAATTTTTCTGTAAATCCAAATGTTTTCTAAAAAACAAATATTTTTTAAAGTAACTTAAAGTACTGACTTAGCATTATAGATACATAATTATAAAGAGAGTTAAAAATGTTGGCTAGATCAGAATAAACCCTTAATTCCTCTGAATTTAGAACAGGCAATTGCAATTAAACACCTTGAAAATTCCACAATTCAGCTTCATTAAGTAATCTACATACTTTTAAACAAAGTTTAACAATGGTTTTTCAACCTACCATTTTTTTCTCCCATCTTTTGGCGTCGTTTATAAAGATAAAACTCTTCAAAATTAACTTTATCAAAGGATTGAATCACTTTGATTGGAGAATGTAACTGGAATCCAACTGTGGTCTCTATGAAATTTGCAGTCCTCAGAGAAAATACATCATTGTGCCATTCTAAACCCAGAATTCTTTGATACTTGAATGTTCAAATAGAAATTTTTGTTGAAGAAACTTTCAGAAATGACTAGTCCAACATAATGACATGTCCACGAATCTTCAATCAAATATTTATAGTTGTATCAGATCACTGACAATACCTTTATAAAAATAAAAACCAACTCCATCTTTTGGTTCATAAATGCATAAAACATTCTGTAAAGAAAACAATAAAAAAGTTGCATATTTGTAAAGAATAAAATATGTAAGAAGAGAATGTCATATACTAATAGCTCTATCTTTTAAAACACCATGAACTATTATGAAAAGACTATTAACCAGAAAAGTGTATAAAATATCAAAATTACGAAAATTACAGAGAAATTCAGAATTGCCAGTATTTAATATATGTTTAATTGACATAAACTATCCCCACTTTATAAATTTTATACTTCATAAAAACTTTTAGGATGGATATAATAATGCTAACTATCCTAGGGTTGCAGTGAGAATAAGACTTAATTACTTAGAATAGTCCCTGAAACATACAAAGGACAAAATAAATGCTAGCAATAATGATTACTTTTTCAGTAAATATATTTTAAAAACAAAATTTGGATTTTAGTATATATAATTTTTTATAATCTTTCACTGAAAACATATTATACACTTTCTCCTAGTCATTAATATTTTTCTATAATATGACTTTTAAGTGACTATATAATGAATGTACTTTGGTCAGTAATACATATATTAAAATACACTAAAAAATTTTGATAACTAAAATTTAATAAGTTATTAATTAGTAATATAAAAAAACCTCTATATTGAACATTTAGATTGTTTCTATTTTTTTCAGTAATAATTAATGCTGGAATCTGCTTTATGCATATCTATGTTTATTTCCTTAAGATATGCAGCTAGAGGTGGAACTAACAGTCAAAAAGATATCAATAATTTTCAGCCTCAAGATATTAGTCAACATATGATAAATTCTTCTCCCAATCCCAAATGCAGAGAAATATTAAAATATTTTTAAAAATTTAAAAAGATGTAATCATGCTGAGAACAAAAAGGGAATTCTCGATGGACCAAGTCTGTGAGACCTCCCTGGGGAAAGAAAACAGAAGAGAAGCTGTAGAGATAATGCCAACTACTATCATAACATAGTAAAAGGAAGAGCAAAATCTCTCAGAGGAGACCAGGGCACAACCAAGAGTCATCAAACATCTGAGGAAAGCTACACGATGACAGAGACTTAACAAGCCCACAAATGGATGGACTTAAATTCAAGAGAATAGAGCATCCTGAAAATAAGTTAAAAACAAATGTTATTGTTTTTAATATCCTCAAAGAGCACAAGAAGGAAACCTCAAGAAGTGAGGATATTTTTCCCATTGATTTTAGAGAGAGTAGAAAAGAGGGTGGTAGAGGGAGAGTGAAGAGAGAAATACTGATGTCTCTGTCACATCAATTGGCTGCCTTCCACACACGCCCTGACTGGGGGCAGGGATGGGATCTGCAACCCAGGTAAGTGCCCCTGACTAGGAACAGAACCCACAACCCTCCTGGTACCCAGGCCAACCCTCTAACCACTGAATCATGCTGGCCAGGGCCAAATACATACAACTTTTAAAATACCCAATTAGATATCTTGAATGTAAAAACAGTTGTTGAATAAACTCAACAGATGACTGACTAATAGCAGAGACTCAGATGAAGAGCCATTTAGTAAGCTGGAAGATTGACTTAAGCAAATCATTCAAAACACAGAGCAAATAAACAATAAGTGGAGGAATAAAATAGGGAGAATGAAGAGGCAATAAAGACCAAGAATTTCTCAGAACTGTAAAACACGCAAGCCCACTAAGGGCTCCTTGAGTACCAATCAGGATAAAATTCTGAATATACACTGCTAAACAAACTGTGGATAAACTTCAGAATATCAAGAATAAAAACATGCACCGCCGGCATGCTCAGTGGTTGAATCCCAGGTCAAGGCACATGCCTGGGTTGCAGGCTCGATCTCCAGAAGGGGGCATGCAGGAGGCAGCCGATCAATGATTCTCTCTCATCATTTTAAAAATAAATAAATAAATAAATAAACAAATAAATAAATAAATCAGGTATAACTAAGAAAACTTAGAGCTAACCTCAATTTAAAAAGAGAAATAAAAAAAATAAGAAATGAAAGATATAAAGAGAAGCATGGTAAATAAGATGACAAGGAAAAGTCCAAATATGTTAATAATCAAGTGAATGTGTTAACCTTACTATTAAAAAGGCAGACTCTCAGATTGGATTCCACGCATAACCTAGCTATGGTATTTTCATTTTTATTATTTTTTAAAAATATTTTTATTGATTTCAGAGAGGAAGGGAGAGAGAGAGATAGAAATGATGAGAGAGAATCATTGATCAGCTGCCTTCTGCTTGCCCCCTACTAGAGATCGAGCCTGCAACCTAGGCATGTGCCCTGACCAGGTATCAAACCTGACCTCCTGATTTATAGATCGACACTGGTAGATGCTCAATGACTGAGCCACACTGGCTGGGCAAGCTATGGTATTTTCAAATAAAGAGACCCACTTAAATCTTACAAAATGTCACTGAAAGGTTGAATGGAGGGAATGTGAAAAAAAGACATGCCAGCAAAAATAAAAAAACATATCAAACAAAATAGAATTTAATATGAAACAAAAGAGACAAGGAAATATTTTACACTGACAAGAACAATTCACCATGACTATGTAATTGAAATTGATTTAATACAAAGTAAGCTCAAGAAGTAAAAATCCCAATTAAGGAATAACTATAAAAAAGAAATTTTAAAAGAATAACTGAAGATCTTAGCAGAGCTGCATGCCACACATCCTCACCTCTCACTCCCAGCATACTATGTCCATAAAGTTTCCTAGATGAATTCCATAGAACTTTCAAGGAACATATAATTTTTACAGTATACAAAAATTCCAGAGCAGGAAAAATAGGGGAAGCCATCAAACTATTTTTTAGATTAGTACTAGTATAACCTTGACATGTAAAAAAAGAAACTCAAGGCCAAAATCACTTATGGACATAGAAGCAAAAACAGTAAGTAAAAGCATGCATCAGTAGACTAAAAGTATGTCATTCATGTAGGGTTTATCCCAGGAATACCCAGAAAGTTCAACATTGGAAAGTTTCTAAATGTAAATTTTTATATTAACAGATAAATGGAGGAAAACTCATCTCAGATGCAGAAAAACAAAATTTAAAAATTCAATGAAAATTGACAACTATTGAAGGGAAGAAGGCAAATTGTTAGCGAACTAGTAATAAAAGAGAACTCTTTAATCTGATAAAGACTATTCTACTAAAATCTTGCATACTCAATAATGAAACTTCAGAGGCATTTTCATTAAAGTCGGGCACAGGATGAGGATACTTGCCATAGCTGCTCTTATTCAGCATTGTACTGAAAGTCTTAGAAAAAGGCAGTAAAATAAAAAGAAACCTAAAGCTTGTAAAGAAGAAAAAAAATCTGCAAATAAACAAAAACAAAATAAAGTTGAAAGCCAAGCAAAGGGTTGGGAGAAAATGTAATATATTTTCACAATAGTAACAAAAAAAGGATATTGCCATTAGACACTGAAATTTTTTTTTTAAATTATACAGGATACACAGTATCCAGGACACATAAAGAACTCCTTCAATCATTAAGAAAAAGATGACTAAATATAAAATGGGTATTCAATTAAAGAAATCATATAACTTTACATAAGTTGTAAGTTAATAAACATGAGTAGATACTGCAACCTTATTAATAATCAGAGAATGAGATCTTTAAAAAACAACTAAAATTTTATCCATCAGACGGGCAAAAAGTAAGATAATACCTCGTGTTGGTCTAGATCAGTTGATTTTCAACCTGTTACATCTCATGGCACACACACTAATTACTCAACTTCTGCTCCACACCAAAACATATATTTTTTGCCAATCTGACAAAAAACAAAAAACAGGTATAATTTTGATTCATTCGCAAAAGATGGCTATTATTGTGTTGGCTGTTGTCATTTTTCTATTTGTCAATCTAAGGGAAAAGAGGTCAGTGCCCCTGACTAAAAGGCATTTCATATTTTAAAAATTCTTGCAGCACACGATTGAAAATTGCTGGTCTAGATTATAAGGAAACTGAATTCTAAAAAAACTACTTATGAAATGTGTAAATTAGTAGAAATATTTTGAAGACAAATTTGGCAAGACCTATTAATATTAAAAATGTTCATAATTTAAAACCAAGCAATTCCACTTTTAGGTATATATCTTGAGAAATACCACATGTACACAAGAAAATACATACAAGGGTTTCTCTGCAGCATTATCAGGTGAAAAATTGGAAACAACCTAAAGTTCATCAAAAGGAGAATGACAGCCCTAGCCGGTTTGGCTCAGTGGACAGAGTGTCGACCTGCAGACTGAAGGGTCCCAGGTTTGATTTCGGCCAAGGGCACATGTCCGGGTTGTGAGCTCGATCCCCAGTAGGGGGCATGCAAGAGGCAGCCAATCAATGATTCTCTCTCATCCTTGATGTTTTTATCTCTCCCTACCTCTCTCTGAAATCAATAAAAACAAATTTTCTTTAAAAAGAAAATCTAAATCACTCACAATTTCACCATCCAGAGACAACCAATGTTAATATTTTGGAGTATAAGAGGGATTTAAAAATTTGTTGATAGATTTCCGCTTTTCACTTTTGGCAGAGAAGTAGTTCCACTTCAATTTACGGTTCCTTCTCCTTTTAAAAAATAGGGTCTTATGAAACTGTGACCATTTCCTGTATTCCTTGTTTTAATTATATAACACTAATGAACAAAACGTGTAGATTAGTCATGTATCAGGCACACTACTTCCTTTGTTCTTATTCTGCATAACAATCAGACAGATTAGCATGTCGGTTTTTCTAGTGAAAGTGGCAGAAACAAAATAAAAGGAACCAGGTGGTATGGTTTCAGAGTTCGTTGTTTTTTTTTTATTCCATCTACCGCCTCAGTTACCCCTTTCCTTAGCCTCATTCATCAAAACATACACAACTTACTGCAGGTTTCCACAAGCCGAAGAGCACAGTTAATCACAACTGTTCCTTATTTTCATTACTCACTGATTAACTAATTACTCACTGGGTTGTGGTTAATGAGTCAGGTGCTCCTAGGATCGGATCTTAACCGCGTGAAACTGGATAAATGATTTTACTTACTTAGGGCTCGTGTAGTCTTACCTGTGAAATGGGTCAGTGGTTAAACGTTCAAGTTCTGCTTCTGGATTTTACACTGCAGTCCATTTCCTGCGGCCCTCTTACAGCCTCGGGGTCCTGGCTGCTTAGGAATCACCTCACATGAAGGTGTAAACTGCAAGATCTAGACTGAAATGGGGGTTGAGGACTTGGTGCGCCCCAACTCCCCGCTCCGGCCCGGGACGGGACGGCACGTGGGTAAAGGAAGGGAGGTGGCAAGGGCTCCCCGGCGTTCTGTTCCCAGGTCCTGGGCCGCAGGACCCGTCAGGGAGCCACCCCCGGCCGTGCCTCGCCTACACGGGCGCCACTGCGTTTTCCTTGCCGCCCGCCAGACCTGAAGGCAGCACTCCGCACGCGAGGCTGGGTTCACCGCAGGTCGGGACCCTCTCCGACTCCACGCCACCGAGATCGCACGGCCCCAGGTGCCCCCTGGCCGGGAAGTACTTCACCATTTACTAGCTCTCACCGCGGCCGGAGGAAGGACCGCCCCTCCGGTAACATCCAGGCCTACCACACGCGAACCTGAAGGGAGGAGTCGGACACCTCCCGGCGCGCTGCCCTGTGCTTGCACCGCGCACGGTGGCCACGCCTCCGACAGCCGCGCGCGAGCCGCCGGCAAAGCGGAGGCGCCGAAGCGCCGCCGGCCGATTTGCTGACGGCGCTCTCGCGTGGTCTCGCGCTCTCTCGCTGGGCCAATGGGGATACCGGCAGTCGAGAGGCCGGCTTCACAGGAGTGGTGGCGCAGCTGTTTCCTCCGGTAGGTGCTTGGCTGCCATCTTGTGTGTGGCTGAGTCTGGGCTTCGCGGCGCTTGAAAACATAGTTAGCGGCTTAAGGTGTAGAGGGGTCCCGAGGGAGCTGTGGAGGACGGGGCGGGGGTGTGGGTGTGAGGGCGCAGATCCGGCGCCTTCTCACTTCCCTGAAAGGGAAAAGTCTTCTTGGCCCGGTTCTCGGCCCTGGCTAGAGCGGTGAACGGTAGTGGTGGCTTCGGTTGGCTCGTCTTTGTGAGGGCCTGGTGGGACCCGTGATGCCTTAAAATCGAGTCCTGGAATTCCAGGAAGCTGTTCCAATCATGTTTGCCTCGGAGATTCCGGCCCTCCACCTTCACTCACAAAGGAGGTTGGCTGGTGGTGGACTATCTGGTACAGAAAGGAACAGGCTGGTAGGTAGTGAAAGGGGGCGAGAGGGGGCCCCCGCCTCGCCGTTATGCTCAGGTTGGAAAGAGACGTCTTCGTTTCCCGCTTTGGCGAAGGAGCGGCCGCCGAGGTGTGTGCTCTTCCCCACAGTTATCCCGGACTGAGGCCAGCACTTGGTCCCAGGGGGCGTCAGGTCCTGCGTTCGGGCAGTTTTGTTCATTAGTGTGCAGCCGGCACTCCCGCAGCGGTCTTTTTTAAACGCCGGAAGGTGCTGGTCTTTGTAGAAACAGTGGGAGTGCAGGCGGAATTTGGTCAGATCTTGGTTTCCCTGGTGACGAGGGAGGGTGAGCCGCGTTTGGGTCGGCCTGGCCGAGCCTGGCCGCGGCGCCGTGGGCCTGGGCGGCCTTCCTGCGGGAACGCAGCCTAACGTCTGAGCTCTTTTTCGGTTGGAAGGAAGGACACAAGTACCTCCTTTTTATCCTCTCTCTCTCTCTTTTTTTTAATCGAAGTAGGAAACACGCGTTGTCTAATTTGAGGGGGAAATTTTATCAGATTCGAGAACCTAACCTAGCTGATAAAAGACTAATATTTTGTGATTAACTTTAGCAGTTTTGACATGCATGAGAAGAAAGCAAAGCTATTCATCTTACTGCCTTGAGTTTAGTTTTCAATTATTCAAAGTTAACTGGTGGCCCAACAGAGTCAACAGTACCGTGTGTTTTGTTGCAGGAATACCAAAGAAAACAGCAGTAAAATAATTAAATATTTTATCTTAAAAATTTGCTTTTTAATTCGAATTTTATAAAACATAAATTGCAAGGGTTCCGGGATCAATAATTTATATTTTTATTTTTTTATTTACTGATTTTACAGAGAGGGAGGGAGGGAAGCCGATTTGTTCCACTTATGCATTCATTCGTTGATTCTTTTTTTATTTTTACTATTTTATAAAATATATTTTTATTGATTTCAGAGAAGAAAGGAGAGGGAGAGAGAGGGAGAAACATCAATGATGAAAGAGAATCATTAATTGGCTGCCTCCTGTATACCCCCCCACTGGAGATCGACCCCTGCAATCCTGGGCATGTCCCCTTCATCAGAATCCAACCCGGAACCTTGAGTCCACAGGCTGACGCTCTATCCTCTGAGCCAAACCAGCAAGGGCTGTTGATTCTTTTTTTTTTTAAATTTGATTTTAGAGAAAGGGGGAAGGGAGAGAAACATCAATTTGTTGTTCCACTTATTTATGTATTCATTGGTTGATTCTTGTACTTGCCCTAACCAGGGATCAAACCCTCAACCTTGGCATATTGGACTATGCTCTAACCAACTGACTTACCCTGCTAAGGCCTCAAGTAGCAATAATTTAGTGTTGAATTGAAGCCTAAGGTACATTAGAAATCTGTTAACATAAGAAAACATTCAAACTTGTAAAGAAATTTTGTGAGTTTATGTAAGCCAAACTGTTAACCATTGTCAGGAAGCAGAATCTCAATGTATTGGGAGAATGCTCCAGAGAATGGCGATTTTTTACCTTGTTTTATACATTACAACCAAAAGAGGAGATGTAAGTGGTTTACATGACATCCATTGCTGATAGATTAGGGAAGTGGGAGAAAGCAAAGCAGGGATTGGATAAAAAGTAAAACGATAGACACATACTTCTTTTACATAGGTGGGTGCAGGATAGTTAACAGTCAACAATGAACTCAATAACTGAGGGGATTTGTGGTCTCCGCTCACTGGTGCCTGTGCTGTGCTTTGAGGGGTCCAGAAAAAAGGAAAATTACTTTGACATTCTGACTATATGTTATCGTAGATGCAAAAAAGACAAAAGACTCAGTTAAAGTAAAGATTGACCTTTGTCAGGGAAGACACCAGCCTAGGACATGACTAACCATGATAACTGCTTTTAGTTCAAGTTTTAAATTCAGACCTTACGTCTTTGAGTTTGCAAGACCACCACACAGGCCTTTCCTGAGCTTGTCAGGTTAGCATGTGGCCCCTTTTCATCCACAGATCAGTGGCTAAGAAACACAAGTTTTCTAGAAAATGTGACTTTTAGTTCATTTGAACTTTATTTGTTGCTTCCAATTTGTACATATAATTATTAAGGATTGATTCATATCCTTTTTGTGAGGTCTGTTTATGAACTATAGAGAAATTTAGATAATGAAGATGAGCCCTAAGTGAAAGTGCTCTATATGCCATTTTTTTTCGTGAAAGCATGCATGAATACCAAAATTATCAGTGTCATAGATCTCTTACTGCTTTTCTAGTTTCTTTTTAACACAAGTCAAAAATACTTCAGCTTTAAAATTTACTATATTGTATAAGTATATTCTGTAATTTTAAGCAGATAAATAATCTATATATATAAAAACCCAGGGACCATTACGGCAGAATGATCGGTCACTATGACGTGCACTGACCACCAGGGGACAGGCGCTCAATGCAGGAGCTGCCCTCTGGTGGTCAGTGCGCTCCCACAGCTGGAGCTGGACTCAGCAAGAAGCCAGGCTCACTGCTGACCAGCGCAGCTGCAGCAACGCTAAGGAGAGGCTAGCCAAGCGGTAAGGAGCAAGCAGGTGGGCAGTTAGGAGCGAGGGGTCCTGGATTGCAAGAGGGCGCAGGCCGGGTTGAGGGACCCTTCCCACTCTCGTGCATGAATTTCGTGCATTGGGCCTCTAGTTTGAAAATAGGTATCTTCAAATTTTTCTTTCAGAAATATAGTGCTATAGACATAATAACAATCGGATGATTCTTAGAAATTTTTAAAATAATCACTTTTGTATGAACAATATTAAGTAACTTTAAGTAAAGTGATTTAACTTAGATTGGTATGTTAGAGATTACTTTTCATAGCAATCTCATAATATATACAAGTTTAGAGTCTTTTCCCAATATCAAATGATGTATGCTGTATAATTTTTAAAATTTTTTGATAACTTTTAAATGAATGTGCTATTTTGTGACAGAATATAGATTAAAATTTGTCTAGCCCAGCCGGTGTGGCCCAGTGGTTGAGCACCAACCTATGAGTAAGTCAGGTTTCAGTTTCCAGTCAGGGCACATGCCCTGCTTGCAGGCTTGATCCCCAGTATGGGATCATTCATGTTTCTGTCTCTCTCTCCCTCTCGTTTCCTCTCTGAAATCAAGAAAAAATAAATAAAATTTCTCTAAATCAGCATAACAATAAAAACTGCTCTCAGAACATATTCGGAATTCTAACATTTGATACTTTTTTATTTTTATTTTTTTTTTATTTTTCGCTAAAAGTATTACAAAGGGTATTACATAAGTGTCCTTTTTTCCCCCCCACCCTTGACAAGCCCCTGCCCTCCCTTACCCCCCAGTGTCTTATGTCCATTAGTTATGGTTATATGGATGCATACAAGTCCTTCGGTTGATCTCTTACTCCCCTCCCTCCTGTCCCCCAACCCTCCCTGGCCTTCCCACTGCAGTCTGTCAAACAGTTTGAGGCAGCTCTACCACTGTATTTAATATTGTTCAAAAGTTTGTAATGGTCTTAATTATCCATGAAAGAGTGCGATCATGTGGTATTTTTCCTTCATTGACTGGCTTGTTTCACTTAGCATAATGCTCTCCAGTTCCATCCATGCTGTTGCAAATGGTAAGGGTTCCTTCTTTTTAACAGCAGCATAGTATTCCATCGTGTAGATGTACCACAGTTTTCTAATCCATTCATCTACTGATGGGCACTTAGGCTGTTTCCAGATCTTAGCTATGGTGAATTGTGCTGCTATGAACATCTGGGTGCATATATCCTTTCTGATTGGTGTTTCTGGTTTCTTGGGATATATTCCTAGAAGTGGGATCACAGGGTCAAATGGGAGTTCCATTTCCAATTTTTTGAGGAACCTCCATACTGTCTTCCATAGTGGCTGCACCAGTCTGCATTCCCACCAGCAGTGCACAAGTGTTCCTTTTTCTCCACATCCTCTCCAGCACTTGTCGTTTGTTGATTTGTTGATGATGGCCATTCTGACAGGTGTGAGATGGTACCTCATTGTTGTTTTGATTTGCATCTCTCGGATGATTAGTGACTTTGAGCATGTTTTTATATGTCTCTTGGCTTTCTGAATGTCCTCTTTTGAAAGGTGTCTATTTAGATCTTTTGCCCATTTTTTGATTGGATTGTTTATCTTCTTTTTGTTAAGTTGTATGAGTTCCCTATAAATTTTGGAGATTAAGCCCTTATCAGATATGACGTTGGCAAATATGTTTTCCCACGAGGTGGATTTTCTTGTTGTTTTTTTGATGGTTTCTTTTGCTGTGCAGAAGCTTTTTATTTTGATGTAGTCCCATTTGTTCAGTTTCTCTTTAGTTTCAACTGCC